TTATCCCTACCTGCTCGTGTGCATCAACAGTTACTACTACGTCAACGGTGTACACACGACCGGTGACCTCGACCGGCTATACTGCTCCGCTCTACCCAACGGATGATCCACGTGTCGGCTGGATACATGAGCTGTCAAAGCAACAGTTGATGGTGGAGATGGCCCGACACCAATTGCCATCACATGGTACACTGGCAGAAATGCGCAAACGTCTCTGCACGTACTGGCGAAGCAACGCTGGTGCACCGTCTTCTCCAACCTCCCAGGAGGAGGTGTTTACGACTGGCCAGGTGTTAGATAACCAGGCCCGGAGTTCGATGCAGGAGCCTACTCCACGCCCATCGCCTTTCGACTACCGAACGGGGTCAATGCCTCAGCCTACTGCGTGGAGACCACCCGGTACCTATGGACTCGTAGGCCTACCCCCTGCTACGTTCCAGCGTCAGAGCCCACCTGCTGCGGTCACCTCGGCATCACATGAACCCTCACTCGCAGGACTGGAGAACTTGACTGACGCTCGACATGCCTTCGACTTCGCTCCGAGGTCTTCGCTCCCGGAAAATTCTGATGCCGATCCGGTACGTCACACTTTGGACCGCATGCGGCAGATGCTCGGCCTATCGCCCAATGCTGACATGCGCAGCCTAGAGCACACGTTAGCCGAGGTGTTGAACCTCGAACAGCGGGGCTCACGACGTGAGGAGGACTACGCCGAGCTTCCAGTCCACGGGATCGACCCGCTAACCTCCCGATACACAGTCCCGTCTCGGCCAAGGGATGGATATGGAGGTGTCCGGTCTTCGTATGTCCTACGGAGTGATGACCGACCTGATGACGTTGCTAAAACGTCGTCCGCCCTCTGTGACAAGGTCCGGAAGTGGAACTTGCGCTTCGACGGCAGACGAGATGCGGTTTCGTTTCTGGAGCGTCTAGAGGAGCTGCGCGAGGCCTACTCTCTGTCGCCAGAGGACGTTTTGAAGGCTTTGCCTTCGCTTCTACATGGCCAAGCTCTCCTCTGGTACAGGAACAACAAAATGATGTGGCGTTCCTTCCTCGACTTTAGGCGGGCATTCGAGGTCCAGTTCTTCCCTGCTGGCTATCATCGCCACTTGGATGACGAGATACGGAAGCGCACTCAGGGTGAAACAGAGGCATTTAAAGATTTTGTGATTGCCCTGACAACCCTGATCCGACGGAGCGGCACTTTCTCTAACCAGGAAACTATCGACCTGGTGTACTTGAACATGAGGCCGGAATACAAGTTCATGATACGACGTCATGACTTTGTCACGCTACCCGACCTCATCGAGCGAGCCGACGAATACGAGGAGCTGCTACGGGAGCGTAAGCTGTTCCGCCCTCCCCCTCCGGTCGCTCAAGCATTGGTGCCTGAGACTGCCTACACGCCCAGGCGTCGAATGGACCGTTTCGTCGATGTTGCGGTGATGGACTATTCTGAGACTGACCGTAAACCGCAACCTACCTCGCCAAAGACCGGCCGCACTGGTGATTACCCTGCAAGGAGTGGGGGTAACCAGCCAAAGCATACGACCGCCAGCGTTCCTAACAATAGAAACTGGGGCCTACCGTCTACGGGCCCACCTCGATCACCGAGTAACCGCAACCCTCCGATCTGCTGGAATTGTGATGCACGCGGACATGTCTTCCGGGATTGTACTCAGCCGAAGGTGTTGCGGTGTTACTACTGCAAACAAGTAGGAGTGGCCACTACGAGCTGCGGTTGTCGCGCGGGAAACGCCAGACGGACTCAGGCCGCCGGAGGTCGCCTGAGCCCACGTCCCGTGGCTGCACTACCTCCGAAGAATGGAGCTCATGGCTCCAGTACATAACGGCCTTCACTGAATCGGGTTCAGGCATCGTGAGGTCACTTGAGCCCGCAGCGCAGCCATCTATGACCTCTACCGAGCTCAATTACGTGAGCACCTCGTACGTGTCGGCTGGAAAATCGTCTGAGCCGACAGACATCCGACCTTTTGTCGACGTCACGCTCCTTGGAAAGGGATTTCATGCTCTGTTGGATACCGGAGCAGTTGTAAACCTCGTCGGGGATGAGGTTGTTCGTCACTTCGACGAGTGTGGGGTAAAACCTGAGATATCTTCGGCGGACCTGAGGATGGCTGATGGTACACGTTGTCGGATTGAGACGAAGTACCACATCCCGGCCCAGATCTTAGGTGAAAACCTCATACTCGGAGCCTATTTTGTGCCTGGGCTCACCACGGACGTCGTATTGGGTATGAGGTGTATTCGAAACCTTAACCTCATACGAATAAACGTCAACCACGATGGCACTTTCGACACGACCACGACACTTCCTTGTGCGACGGGCACACTGGAACCGCTGACGTCTAAGGAAGAACAACATCTCAAGAATTTTCTCGAGAAAGAACTTCCTCTCTTCGATGCTGTTGTGGGACCTACGGCGTTGACTGAGCATGTCATTCGGCTCAAACCAAACGCAGTCCCGATCAAACAGCGCCACTACCCTCGTAACCCTGCAATGCAAGCGGTCATCAACGATGAAGTAGCTGCCATGCTGAAGGATGATGTAATCGAACCATCCGAGAGTCCATGGAGCTCTCCGATCGTGTTGATCCGGAAGTCGACTGGGAAATACCGCTTTTGCATCGACATGCGCAGGGTGAACGACTCCTCGATCAAGGACGCCTATCCTCTGCCTAGGATTAACGCCATCCTTGAGAAGCTCAGGCAGGCCAAGTTTATCAGTACCTTGGACCTGAAGCAAGGCTACTGGCAAGTGCCATTGGCCGTCGACAGTCGCCCCGTGACCGCCTTCACTGTGCCAGGCCTAGGCCTTTTTCAGTTCAAGGTCATGCCGTTTGGCCTACACTCGGCCGGTGCCACCTTCCAGCGCCTTCTGGATAGAGTCATCGGGCCTGAGCTGGAGCCGAAGGTCTTCGCTTACCTTGATGACCTTGTGGTAGTGTCAACGTCTTTCGAGGAGCATCTAGAACTTCTGGGGGTTGTTTTTCGCCGCCTACGAGAGGCGGGCCTTCGTTTAAACCCCGAGAAGTGTCACTTCGCCCGTAGGGAGCTGAAGTATCTGGGACACATCGTGAGCCAAGATGGAATCGCCACGGATCCTGAGAAGGTCCGCGCCATTCAGGATTTCCCCGCACCCACGAACGTCAAGGGACTTCGCAGTTTCCTAGGCCTTGCGTCGTGGTATCGGCGATTCGTCGAGAAGTTCGCTTCAGTAACCATTCCGCTTCGAGGTTTGCTGAAGAAGAACGCCAAGTGGCTCTGGGGACCCGAACAAACTAAGGCATTCGAAGCTCTGAAGCACGCCTTGGTGACGGCCCCGATTCTCGCCTGTCCCGACTTCAGCCAACCCTTCGTGCTCCAGGTCGACGCCTCGAATTATGGCCTGGGAGCAGCGCTAACTCAGAGTGTAAACGACCGAGAAGTTGTCGTTGCGTATGCCAGTAGGCTACTCTCTGAGGCCGAACAGAACTACACAACTACCGAGAAGGAGTGTCTCGCTCTCGTGTGGGCTGTTCGGAAATTCAAGGCTTATCTCGAAGGCTACCACTTCATTGCGATAACCGACCATGTCGCCCTAAAATGGCTGCTTAAGCTCAGTGAGCCTAGTGGGCGCCTGGCTCGGTGGGTTATGGAGTTGCAGCAATTCGACTTCGAGATAAGGTACCGCAAGGGGACATCGAACAGAGTGGCAGACGCCCTGTCTCGTCAGCCAGTCCCTGAAGTGCCCAGCCCGTCTGGTGAACCCGATCAACCTACGTTTGAGGTCGGAGTTTTAACCAGACGCGCTGCAAGGGAACAGTTGCGGTTACGACGCCTAACCGATGCTGAAGGTGACGAACCTTCACTCGGTGATGATCCGGCGGGTGACGTTATCGATCACGAAGCTCCTGGTCCGACGCAGCAGGAGACTGACGACCCATCTTCCGACGTGGACAACGATGGTAACCCGCCGGGCAGCCACAGTGCTTGGTATGACCGCCTTCGCAATCTGGTCAGCAAACACCCTGGGCGATACTCGAGATACCAGCTTCGCGACGGTAAGCTGTACCGTGCTGTCTTGAGGAAGGATCGACCTACGACATGGAGGGTGTGTGTGCCAAGCGACCAAGTATCCGTGGTGCTGCACGAAAACCACGACACGGCTACAGCAGGACATCTTGGGGTGAAGAAAACGTTAGCCCGAGTTGGTGGGGAGTACTTTTGGCCTAACTGGCGTCGTGAGGTGAAGGCCTATGTACGGTCTTGCGCCCAATGCCAGGCCTATAAAGTACCCCAAACGAAACCAGCTGGGAAAATGTACTTCCGACAACCCCAAGGACCGTGGTACGCAGTGTCTGCTGACCTGGTAGGCCCATTGCCTAGATCACAACGGGGTCAGCGATTTCTGCTCGTGGTGCAGGATACCTTCAGCAAATGGACGGAACTCGCCTCCATTGCGTCTGCAACCGCAAAGAATGTGGTGACAAAGCTGAAGGCTATCCTACTTCGACATGGAGCTCCGGATGTGTTGATTACGGACAACGGCACGCAGTTTGTCGGTAAACTGGTTCGAGAGTTGGCGGCGGAGTGGGGCATCACGCTGCAGACGACGGCCCCCTACAGCCCGCAGTCGAACCCAGTCGAGAGGCAAAACCGGGTGGTGAAGACCATGATTGCACAGTTCGTAAAAGGCAACCATAGGTCTTGGGACAACCACCTGGTGGAGTTTCAGTACGCCCTGAACACAGCTGTCCACGACTCTACTGGATTCACTCCTGCGATGCTGTGTTTCGGTCGCGAACTGAAACCTCCCTGTGCCGTCCGTGGCCCTTCGTTTGAGGTGTCCGAAACTCACCAAAGTCCCTCGTTAAGCGAGACCCATCGCAAACGACTGGATGAGTTTCAGCGTCTGATCGCGCAGACACGCAAGAACCTCAAGGCCGCCTACGAAAGGCAATCAACCTATTATAACCTCCGTCGTAGGGAGGTGACGCACGAAGTTGGCGCGCGAGTGATGCGACGACTTCACGTATTGTCTTCAGCTGCCGACGCGATTGTCGGGAAGTTAGCGCCGAAATATCGCGGCCCCTGCACAGTTGTTGGCTGTCGGGGAACTAACCTTTACGAGGTGCGTGATGAGGACTCCGCGGCGGTGCATGTGGTCCATGCCAAAGACCTAAAACCTTTCTGTGCGCGCGTTTAGTGGTAAGGTGGTGGAGCTTAGTTGTGGCTACTAACTAACTCTGTAGTGACGCTTTATTTTACTCTTATATACTAATATAGCCTACTTTATCCCTTAACTGATTTCCCTTCTAGCTTTGTAGTGCTTGTACCTAGCTTGTAGCGCCTGTACCTAGCTTGTAGCACCTGTACCTAGCTTGTAGTACCTAGCTTGCATGGTCCCGCTTAGTTCTGGTTTTGTTGGGTAGGTACGATGGCATCCGATCCCCGCCCGTCTACGCCGAGCCGAGACATCCTCGACCCCGAGGACATGGTGCTGGACCAGGAGATCGGGGACTTCCTGGCGGCCAACTGGTCCTGGCCTTTCCGGGTGGACCCCGGGGACGTCCTCGACCTGGAATGCTCAGACCTCGAGGAGGGGGAGGTCCCGGCCCGATCATCGCCACGGGCCACGGAGCCGTCTCCTCAGCCCGACCGACCGACCTCGCCGACGGTGGATCCCCAGCCGGCCGTCGTCTCTCCGCCGGCTGCGTCGCCTCCGCTCCGAGTCCGGTTCGCTTCGTCACCTCGGCGGCGGATTCAGATTTCTCCGCCCCGTTCTCTTCAGATTTCTCCGCCCCGTTCTCATCATCGCCCCGCCTCTCCGCCCCGTTCTCATCGTTGCCCCGCCTCTCCATCTCGTCATCATCATCGCCCCGCCTCTCCACCTCGTCCTCATCGTCGCCCCGCCTCTCCATCTCGTCTTCCTCGTCGCCCCGCCTCTCCACCTCGTCCTCATCGTCGCCCCGCCTCTCCATCTCGTCCTCCTCGTCGCCCCGCCTCTCCATCTCGTCATCATCGCCGCCCCACCTCTCCGTCTCGTCGTCATCACCGCCCTGCCTCCCCGCCCCGTCATCCTCGCCGTCCTGCCTCTCCGCCCCATCGTCGCTGCCGTCCCGTCTCTTCATCCCGTCATAGCTGCCGTCCCGTCTCTTCATCCCGTCATAGCTGCCGTCCCGCCTCGCCACCCAGTCGCCATCCTGGCCCCGCCGCACTGCCTCGCCCACGTCTTGTCTTGCCGACTCGTCGCCTGCCCGAGCGTCGCCGTCGCGACTCCCCTCCTCGCCGCCCCCGTCTGGGAGAAGCACCAGCTGGAGCCGGAGCGGGCCCAGCGCGCCGCAGACCGTCCCCCATCATCTGGGAACCAGCTCGACCGAGTGGCCTGGCCCGAGCCCCTGTTCGCCGGACAGAGCCCGAAGAGACGGTCACCGGGAACGCCCTTCCGCTGTCCCGGGCAGTCCTACTACGGCTGGTAGCCGCCTACAACCAGCTCACACCGGAGCAGCGGCGCAACAAACGCTGGAGAATTATGCTGGGAGGCGACCGATACGTGCGGCTGCGACCGAGCCAGGTGCTGCGAGTCGTCCGAGGCCGACTGCCGGAGCTGAGGCGGCGCTTCCAGCAGCAAGGAGGCAATCGACCCCGCTAAACCGCCCTGGGCAGTTGTAGGGGCCGTCGACTCCTAATAACCACCTGGGAGGTGGTGCTAATAGAACCCGCAGAATAACCCCTGCCAGGGGTGATAAATCCGTACTACCCTACCTTCGTCAACCCCACCATCTTCGGTTTTCTTCGCTCCGAGTCATTTCCGTCTAGACCTCTGAGGCGATTAGGCCTCAGACTGTCTACCTCATTTCTAGGTTCGTCCGCTTTTCGTCGTCAACATCCTTAACCACGATCCTACTGTGGTGCCATCTACCGGAAAGTTCAACAGTTTTTTTTTCTTTTCGCGGTTTTCTTTTTTTTTCGTTCCGAAGTGTGGAGGGGGTGTAACGAGTCAAATGGGTAGGGGGGTAAAAATATAACGATCTAGACCACGAACATTAAACAGCTAAACATAAGCTGTTGAGTAAGCCTAGTCGCGACACTAAACTGACGTCGTACCTAACCTCCAATTCCAAGACCGCAGACGACGTTGGTGTCAGTTTGGTTGTTTGGCTGTTCGACTGCATCTGAGGCCGGGCTACGGGAGAGAAGATGAGCAGCGAGGTCACCTTTGAGCGGTACGCGGCTGTAAGCCTGTTAAAGCTACCATGCGCCTGCCTTCGCTGCCAGTTTTTTTTTTTTGTTTCGGTAACTCGTTGACCAATCAGGAATCGTTTTAACTTTCGTCTCGATTCTGAGACGAAGGTGAAGTAAGAAGAAGTTTTGTGAAGTTTTTCGTCATTCGTAATCCCGGCTTTTGGTAAGTTTGTTTCGTTTTTGGTTCGCTCTCGAAAATTCGTGCAAGTTTAAGTTCGTATCGCAAGCTCTGAAAGCTTAAGTTCGTACGTATTGTTTCGTAGTGAATATTTTGATATAATTTCGTCATCGGGTAAGTTTTGTAACTAACTTACAGATTATTGTATATTATTTGACCAGTTTTCGTGTACTTAACTTGGTTGAACTTGAAGGCTAGGCCTGATTCGCAGACCTAGTCATACGCCTTAACCAACAATTTGAGTAAAGTACTGCAGTTGGTGAAATATATTTTCAATTACGTTTCATAATCCGTCTTGGGACTTTCTTTTTTAATTCTGAAAACCCCTTTTTTAAAGTTCCCCAGACGTACCAAAGTCTGTTCCAGCAGACAGGTTTCTGCTGGACAAGTTCTGTCGAAGTTGGTCTAAGTTGAACACGTGAGGAAGTTAAAGTTTTAGTTTTTCGTTTTTGGCTCAAGGAGCAGTTTCACCTTTTTAGTTTCGTTTTTTTTGTTCGTTCCTCACCTGGACCACTTAGGCTAACTTGTTTTCTTATCATTTTAGTAAATTCAGACTCTGTGGGAGTTAGGCTAGGTTAGGCCTATCTTGTACTAACCTTGTTTGTTTCAGGGTGACGACGTAACTCCGTAGGTAAGCGGAGTGCCTACTTAGCTTACTTGTTGATTTGTTAAGTTAGCTAGTAGTGTGTCATTTAGATATCTGCCCACAGAGTCAAGTGAAAATTATTTATTTCCCCACAAGCCCTAGGCTAGAGTGGTGATTTCGAGTAGGGTGTTTAGTAACCCGCAACGTTCGTCTCGAGCTCTGACAACCAGGGCTATCAAAGTTAGGCTATCCGAATCACTATCGACTCCTGGGAAACTCCCCGCGACCAGACTAGGGCGAATCCTGGGATCTCGTTTTCTTACCGGTGGCGTAATTTACCTCTTGTCGTCCGCCAGGAAAATTACGTCACAAAAGATTGTGGTAGAGAGAAACAATATCATAGTTTGTTTCAATACCATTCACCTAATAAAGGGATCAAATTAATTTAAGTTACGATAAGCTTTCAGTGCAATGGAAAATAGCCATAAGCTTTAACCTAAATAAAAACACAATTAAAAATAACATGAAACAAAACGATGAAGAAAACTAAAATAAGGTGATGTGTTCTGAAATAGATACGAAGAAAGCAAATAATAATGTATTTAGGATATGCCTAAACTTATAATGAGCTACACCATAAAACAAACAAACATCCATTGTAAATTTTATTGTTAATACTTATAAGTTCATATAAGGTACTTTTGCAATCACTAAGATTAAGCAAGACATAACCCCAATCTCTCAAGAACGGAGTTGACAGTTTACCTCAGTATCTCGAAATATGGTAGATTGAGATTAGCTGATCCAGATTTTAGAGTAAGAAGAGGTAAAATCGAAGATCACAAAAACTCTGCGTTGTGATTGGTTTAAAATTACGTCATCTGAATTTCGGGCGGTCGTATGCTCTACATTTCCAAAACGAGTCACTCAACTAGTGATTTCCAACTCACTTCCAAACTGTTGGATTTCAAAAATATTAAATCCTGTTGTTGGTTGAGTTGAGTGTTGACTGTAGAGTCAACTGTCAACCATTTCAAAAATAGGGCCCCAGGTTTGAGAAATGTCTATTTAAACTAAGTCTCATTAATATCTTTTTCACTGTGTTTCGTCAGGGAACAAAAATTGTGGTTGAAGGGATTCTGAATGCTGGGATTTGGTACATCATTAATAGCCATAAATGTATATTCTTTTCACCTATTATTCATTTTTTATCCCACGAGGGGGACGGCCCACGAGTAGTCAAACAAAATTCTTAAATAGTAGCATAGGTTGAGTTTTGTATCAAATTAAAGGTCTTGGCTAGTAGAATAGATTGCCACAAAAACGAACTCAAACGTACAACCAAGTCAAAAACGGCAGCCGTTTGAATATTTCTTGAATCTGCCATTTTGAATCTTTGAATGGCTGCCATTTTTTACTAAGTTGTTCTTTTGATCTCAAATTTGCAGCATTGTATTATACTAATAAAGGCTTATAATTTGATGTACACATCGACCTATGTTTGAGTTTATGATTTTCTTCCGAATTCTAGCTGGCCCCTGAGGAGGCAGCGTACTGCAAATTAAATGAATCTTTGAACAGCTGTAATTTCTGACTCAGTTGTCTGTTTGAGTTAGGGTTTGCAGCAATGTTTTCTACTACCTAAAACCTTTAATTTGATACCAAACTTACTATGCTGCTATTTAAGAATTTTGTCTGACTCCTCGTGGGTTTTTAAAGGATAAACAAGTGATAATAGCTTAAAAGAGCAGACATTTATAATTATTATTGATATACCAAGTCTCATTACTTTATCTATAATGGTAAAAAGTATAATACATTGTTCCAGGAATTTTCAATCACACTGTATGCAACCATAAGCAAAAAGAATTAAATATAGACCGTCAGTTGTGCTGCGGTTACCATAGGTTCTGGCACACACCGCTGGGAGCGCCATGTAGGTACAGCTACGTAACGATACGGCGCTCCCAGCGGTATACGCCAGAACCTATGGTTACCGCAGCACGGCTGACAGTCTATATTTAATTCTTTTGTCTATGATATAACTATCTGTTTTAGGCTCAGACATCAGCATGCAGCTGTATGGACTGTGAGGCCAGCTGTCCTGCGGCTCCACCTCCGCCTACCCCTGTCGTACCTTGCCTAGTCTTGGGACTGCCTTGTCTGTACGTAGTGATGGCCACTGTCTTCATAATCACCTCAGCTGTATTCCTTGTCATTACCAACTACCAACAGAAACTCCAGCTGCTTATCAATGACTGTAAGTATTTGATTGATTATCTTTATCTGTATCTTACATCGAATAATGAATTTTTAATTATATTTGTTTTGCAATAGATAATTAAATCCTGATTAACCAAAAAAAAGGTAGGCCATTTAGGTTAAACTATTTTCTCGATATAGTGGTTAGAATTTAAATTATTTTGGTTCAAACTGTACAACAGTAGTTTTTAATTTTATTTTCATTACTTTCATATTAAAATCCAAACTTTAGCTGAGAATAATTTTTTTAACTTCATTTTCACAGCGGTTGCCAACTTCCACTTTCCACGGCAGACGATTCCCATTGCCTAGTTGATGCAATGATTTGAATTTTTACCACGGTTTCTGTTAATCTGGGTTTTTGGTTTGTATAATACTAGATTGTTGGGCACAGCAAGATTCAAGATTAAAATATCATTTGATATTTCTATTGGGGCAAAAGAATGTAGATCTAGGATCATTCTCCAAATGAAAAATTTTTGCTAACTTAGCAATTCTAGTTATATGAGTCCAGGACTTCTTTCCTGAAGAACGAGTCCGTCTTCAAATCCTGCCCATCACCTTCTTAGTTAATAGTTACCAGGTTACCAAGATATTCATAAGAAAGTATAAAAGTAAAAGTATAAGTATAAAAGTATATTTGTCCACATATGTTGTAAGAAATTACATCCCTAATAGTTTAATGTAAAAAATAATTGATAGTTATTGTTTAACTGAACGGCAAGTAATATTTTTACTTTTTTAGTAAAACACATTGTTGAGGGATTCCATAAATAATTATTCTAGATAACCTTTTATCATTTTACATCCATCAATAAGCTGTCTGAGAATGAAATGGAAAATCAAATCACTGAATCATAGGTAGTCCAATTTATTTAAGGCAGATTTACAAACTTCCGTCTGTATAATTTTTCGATTAGATTTAAATTTACAAAGAGCAAGCTGAGCGCGAAATATAAACAACTGTATAAATAAATGGATAAGCAGGCTTGCGAGATCTGTTTTATAACCAAGATTGAAACAAGAAACACTGAACCAATCTTGTGAGTGGAGATCTGGGTAGTCTTGAGAAGAAACTACAGCCAGATTGCCATTACTTTGTGGTTTAAATATAGCTACTTTTAAATGATTTAAACTTAAACTCCACTAATAACTTTTCTCTACAATTATTTCCTTACCATGGTTCTTTTCAAAAGTAGACCTATACATACAGGGTTGGACAAAAGTATGGTTTGGGATAAATACCTATATCCGCCGATATTCTTTTAAACTAATGGTTTTTAAAATGAGGTGTCACTTATGGGGCTATAATTATTTCCCCGGAAATAATCCATTTTGGGTTTACCGACGAAATCGGGATACCAACAAAAAGTGCACTTTTATGCCATAGAGGTGTGCAGAATTTGTTTTTCCAACTGTGTTCCTTACCTATCCTAACCAAAAGTAAACAAATTAGTATGAATGAAACATTAAAAGTTTAAAACTATTTTGAAATGTTTATTAAAAATATTGTAGTTACAAAATTGAGAAATGTACTTTTTATCTTACACCACTGATGGGTTGTGTTGAATATAATCAGGATAATTTGGAGAGGGCTCAGAAGTCTGCTGAAGAAGGTGACTGAACCAGGACATCATCAGAAATGCAAAAGGCAATCCTCATTTGAGTTACTTAACCAGATTTTTTTATTAACTGCTTGGTCAGTAGAAACATTAATATGGAACGTACCCGTAACATGTTTAATATTTGCATGAGTGTTGACCTCAGCGGATTAATTATACCCTCATGTTTGTCTGGTTGTGCAACGTCTTGTGAATTGAAACATCAGTACTAATCCAGATAGTGAGAACCTTGTGTTATGATGTAGTTAGCTAAACACTACTGGTTAAAAATATTAACAGTAACTTATTTAATTATAAGACTGGGTTTTTATTAAAAAAATAAAAATTAAAAAATTAATTGAGCGAGGCTTGTAAGTCGGATTTTGGGCCTGCAGTGGCCAGACGAGTAACGCTAGTAAATTGGCGCCTATGGGTTAAGAAATATTGACAGAAGAAGGGAGTCAAACACATATACAGTATTTTATAAATAATAGCTGTACAGTTACCATTTTCAAGGTGAAGAATCATATAACCTAAAGCAGTGGTGATGAAATGTCAGAAATTTTCCTTTTAACAATTTACTATCCAGTTAATAGTTTATTTCATAATTTTTTTTAAATAATTTTAGCCTAAATTTTTTATGTATTGATTAGAAAGATTGAAAGTGTTACACAGTAGTTTTATAGTGTAATAAGAACGTAATTATGATTTTTTAGGCTTACTCTGTCAACAGTCCTATTACGCTAATCATATCAATTACAGTTACTAAACAAAACTATATCAAACTGGTCAAATTCAAATCCCAGCAATTACCAATGGATTCTACCAATGTGATTGTGTAGGTTAGACTCAGATATCCCTTGATGTAGGTGCTCCTGTCAAGGACACGGTCTTTCTGGCCAAGAAAACTTTCTCATTATTGGAGTACTTACTATCTCCACTAGAAGTCATATGACAATAATACAACAATATAGTCAACCTACTTACATAAAAAGTACTAAACTAACACATGTTAAACTTGTGTACTATGCAACTTGTATTTTGATTAAATATAAATATCCTAATACAAGGTGTAACGCTAATTGAGGAAAAATAACAAAGTAGCTTGATACGAGAAATTTGCTTGTCCGTATTCTTTGCCGATAAAACAATAATCACAACTTCTATACTGATTGAAATCTCAGACAAAGTGTTGTTTTAAACTCAGCTTTACTAAACTCTTGGCCTTGGCAATTTAGGGTATTGTTTCAGTACTAATTAATGCCAATGTTTTTTTTCACTCTACTTGAAAAAACTACATTGTTAATTGATTTTTTTTTGTCAGGAGGAAATTCTATAAGGAAGATTTTGCTGTTTATCAAGTGTTTGTTATTTTCTATTTATCTGTACGCCTTCAGTGTACAAATTAGAAAATTTTAATATTTTTTCAATAAATACGAGGTGTTAGCCCGTCCTACGTACGGGAGTAGTCAGTTACAACTGTGTATAAATCAGAACAGCTAGCTTACACGTATAAAGAAAAAATTTATAGCAGCCTACAGTAGAAAGAGTAATTATCAAAATTGAGAAAGTGTATAGGTCTAGTCAACGGTATCACCTTCCAATTCCATCGCATACCTGCCTCTTCCTTAATCAATATCATCACAATACAATTACTCATACTATACACAATTTCCAGTAGGTCTGAATAGACACTCCCTAAAATAAAACGAAAACATCCAATAAAATTCACAGTAGGCTACACATAATTATAAATGGAACTGTCGGACTTAAAATACGGCAATTTTCCAACGGTTCTCGGTCCCGGTTATTTTTCCAAGAACCGTTGGAACCGAGAACCGTCTTTTCACACATAACTAATAAAAATTAACTTAAAACTAGACAAAACAAAGTTTACTTAGCTACTAATAGTTTATGAAGGAATTACGATTACAAATACAGTAGGTTAAAAATCATAATTCACAAAATGTTCTATACTGTAGTAAGCTTTATCCGTCATAAGCAGTTTTGACATTAATATTTATGTTTCTGTTAAGCTAATACATTTAATATGCACTAGCAATTTATTAAACATTAACCCATGTAGGCCTACTGCAACAAATTATTGTACAAACACTTTTTATTACTATATAAAGGTTGTAGTTTTACAATTAAAACTACATTACAATTTTAAAATTTTATAATAAATTACATTTAAAAAATCAACCTTCATAAAAAACATGAAACTTATGAAAAAGTTATAAAATTTCATCCCAAAATAAAAAGAAAGAATTTACCCACAAATGTAGTTCTCTGCAGACTCCGCAGCACTGTAAGCTGAATGGACCCACCCTGAACATGAGCAGCACCCTGTACCAGAGCTGTATGGTTTAGCCCCAATCCGTCCCTCGTGGGAAATTATAAACATAAACTCAAATTCTATCACTTAACTAATCATCGCTAATAACCAAAAGAGAGCTTAAGGGATGTAGGTAATTATGATCTCACAGTTAATAGACTACGATAAAAGCTACTTCACTAACTTTTTATTTAGTACTGGACGAAAATTTTAAGCAAGTGAGGAGAAACATGTTTTTTTACTGAAACATTGAAATATACACATAGCAAAACGATAGGCCTACAGATACTGTAAACTTGTGCATTCTGCTGCTAGATAGCAGCACTTGTCGGGATCACCTAGCTTGAACTCTAGGCAAAAAAATTGGTTGTACGGTTTAGTCTCGCTGTACGGTTTAGCCCCGCTCTCCCCTATAGGGTTTCAGAGAGAATCAATGTTTGGATGGGTAGTTGAAAATTCTTGTAATTTCTGGCTATGATAAAAATTTCATTTATGAACATAATTTGATTTATTTTTTATAAATAGCAAAGATTCGATATCATTAAATCTTTAAACAATATTTACTGATTGTCTGGGTATGTAGAACAAGTCATAATTCTTCAAATCTTTTTTTTGACTTGCAACTGTCCCAAAGCTAAATTCAATAATGCATATTAGAAACAAACGAAGCACGACTAAAAATGTAGGCTACCTTGTTTCCAAGTCTGCAACATTTTTTCAAGACAGACTCCTAGAACCAGAAATTATTAGATTTCTTAAAAAAAATTGTAGTATATTCATCCTACTTAAAAGTTTTTAACTTAAATACCTAAAAATGTGGTTATGTTAGTATCATCATAGACTAACCAACACAAGTAGACTTCTCATCCCATTGTAAATTTTGAAGCACGTTTTTCGTGTCTAGTTCATGTACGTGACACATGGGCGCTAGTGTCGACGAAACTTTGTTTCTATTATTTTAGGGTTAATTTCTTGATTTGTGCTTTACTGTTTGGTTATATAACTAGGGGACAAGTTATTGTTTATGATTAGATCGTATTATTTAGTTAAACGAGGTTTTAAATGGCTGTAATAATGGGAAACAAATTGTAAACAAAACACGACCTCTACATAAACCGTACAGAACTAACAATAAAATTGTCTTCAGCTGTTCCATAAGGATGAGAAATCTACTAAGGGAGTATGTTTTATCTATGGTATCATCAATAACTTTAATTTCAATGTTACGGCCTTTTATAAACGAGATAAATCTCCAATATTCCAAGTAAGCTCCAACTAATAAAATATTCTCCAAATTTAATCAAATGCCTTTTCTCCTAGGTCATGTTTTTCTTTTCAGATCAGCAATTAATTACAAACCATTTAATGTTGCTGGAAAGACTGAGTTACATAGGCTCAAACAATAGTATTTCCATAGCATTTTTTTCATATTTTAAACTTAACTGCTATGAGCAAATGTTAACTTTAGTGTCTTTACAGCAACTCTGGTGCCTAGATCGTCAAACGAGGACCGGAATATTGGCCGAGGTCTGGCCACCAAGAATCACTCTAACAGTGTGATACATGACGAGGAAACCAGTCCTTTACAATCTAAGCGGTCTAGTATGTCAATCTCATGCTAGTAGCCATTCGCTTGTTGGGTGTTGAAAAGCTTAATGTGATGTAGCCGTGTTGTAGTAGTATTTGAGTATTTTACTATGTTTGGTTGCTGGTTTCTCTCTCTTCTAGACTGTGGGGTTTTAGTTATTGGATGTTTTTTTATGTTAGTAGATATGGTACTCTGGATATTGGATTTACTTACTAATGATTTTTCATACTGAGTTTTAGGCTTTTGATTGCATTTATATTTATATAGATTGGTGTAATTACCTGCATCTATGCAATTTGATACGTTGTGGTATAACTAGTTTTGACTTACTTACGAGTTATCCTCAGGCCAGTTTAGATTTTTATTAATAATTTTAAAAACACTCACACAAACATAAAAAAACACACACACAAAAATAAAAAAAACAAGCACATAAAAAAACACGCTCACAAACATAAAAAACACAAATATTTAGGTGGAATATAAAACATATGTCAGTGTGCGTGTCCTATTTTTTTTGGGAGGTTAAAAATATAAAACATACATATACTGTATATGATTTCCAACAGAACTCAGAAAATTTAATCTATGGCCTGAGTATGACTTGTGTGTTTGTCAAATCTAGTTGCCATACTGCAATGTATCAGATCACATATATGCAGGTAGTTACACTAATTCAAACTTTTTTAAATCTATTTTTAAAATTTGTTGCTGCAAAGTATAAGCGTTGGTTTTTTATTGATTCTTACTGCATTTTTGTCAACTGATTATGGCTTTGGTTAGCACTTATTTTTTGGTGGTGGTATCTTTTATGCCTAAGTCTGGTGGAATAAAATTTGGAGTGTTATAATATGGTAATTATTTGTTGGCTCCTTGTGTTTGCAACGGTAAAGGATTATTCATTTTTTATTACAATACATTGTTTAATTTTGTCTTTTGAAATAACGAGTTTACATAATTTATTCGTGAGTCTGAACATCTTCTAGAACTATTTATTTACTTTACATTAATCGGAGAGTAAAATACAATGAAAGAACACAATGAAAACAAATTGTAAATCCATTACAAAAAAAACTACATAAGGTGTTTCATCATTTATGGCACTCCAACTAACAATAAAATTGTATAGTTATCTGAAATTTCAGACACAATTTTATTAATTTTTTCTTATGTCAGAAAAAATAATTCTAAATTGCATTTTTGAAATAAACATTGAACTATGGAATTTTTTGAGGATTTGGGATTTGGATCACAAACAATAATTTGGGGACACTTGTTTACCCTTTTTGAAAACAATTAAAGCTTGTCTCTTTTTCAGGTCTTACTAGCGAGAATGCTGAACGAATCGCAAGGGTTAGCAATTCAAGTATGATCAAACCTGCTTCAATATATGAAAAACTTGGTGCCGAACTAGACAAATTACTTCAAGAATCATTTGAACGCCTTGGCTACTGTAAGTTTCTGTATTCCATTCCAACCTTCCACTCTCACAGCGTAATGTATTATTTACCATCTAATGAAAAATTAACATAACAAATTTGGTAAGAGCTTTACTGTATATACATTGCTTTGAGTTTGAAGTTGTCACTCCCCTAAGTCTATGACGGCTTTAGAAAAAAAATGATCTCGGTTCAAATGAGCCAATGACAGAGTAAGCTGTTGCAAAATAACCTGTCTGGCTAAGTATGCACGCTGAAAATGCATCTTTAAACTGTGGTATCTTTAACGTTAATCAACTATTCCAGTCCCATGAAAAATAAAAATAAAAGTCAAATATTAATGAGAACACATCCCATAAGATCTTTAACAGATGGTCCATTTATATCAGTGACAATTTATGTTATGACTATAAGCTTTGAGTACGATTTTATTTTACTTATAAATATTTAAAAATAATTCGTCTATGCTACCTGAAATTTATTTTATAGGCTTACTTGCTGGCCAGGGGAATTTCAGATGCATGTATTTTAAAGCCATACAGGCAATTTTCCTAAATATTTATAAAGAAATAAGCAAACTGAAACATTTATATTTAGGCCTAATTTGCTACATGTAAACTTTATTCCCAATAAGTGTTGTGATAATTTAAGAATTATTGTATATCATTGAGTAAAACTCACATCTAGGAATAGTTTAAAATGAATACGTGCTTAATTAATAAGCCTCCTGGCAAAATTGTGGAGACATCAATATCGTCTTCTGCATTCGCAGAACATTGTGAATTTTCAACTATGCAATCTTTTGCATACCTTTTAATACAATAGTGTAACTGTATCAAATTTCTCTAATTGCTGGCTCAATTCTGTGACTTGGTGCTCGATCGCTAGTCGTGTTTATGTTGGTAGACTGTGCACTACACCCGTGGCGTACGCTGCTCATTGGTCTGTGTGTGGTGCTGGTACTGGGCCACGGCAGTTTCTACCTGCGTCTGACTACTGACCCGGTGGAACTGTGGGCCTCCCCCTCGTCTCGCAGCAGACAGGAGAAGACCTACTTTGACACTCACTTCACACCATTCTACCGCACGGAGCAAGTCATCATACACGCCGTCCAGCTGGACAGTGTGAGTAACGGACCACCAGTAATTCACAAAATAGTTTTTTTTACGTCCCACCTTCACATCCTAGGACGCTAGACTCTAGCATAAAACCGTTTTATCCATTACTTCAAGTTTAAGCCTAAGGGTCCTGGCATTATCACATGGATAAAATCCATTGGTGATTCACGGTGATCTAGACAGAAGATGCTGGCAATTGATGCCCCATGCTCTACCACTAGTCTAGCTCAATCACTTGTTACAGTGGAGCATGCTTAGTTTAAACTTTCTCAAAAGAAAGAATTCACAGTCAACTTCCTACTATACCTGTGCTTTGCAACGGGAAGAAGACGCGAAAGAGAATAATGTGATTCTTTAGACTTCTTGAGACTGTGGTTCTTTTGCATGGAATAGTAACACATTCATCAATAATATTAGAATCAAGACTTACATGTACTGCTTAGTGAATAGTAATATTACATAGAACCATGGATAAAACCATGACTTCCCATCTATATGGACCAGCTGTAGCCAATTTGAAATACCCCCGCCGCAGCAAACCTGCCGACTAAGCGAATTTCCATTTGTCTTAATTGATTTTCAATTAAATATATTTTAATAACGTTAGGTTTAACAAGTACCTAGGTTTGCTGCTACAAGGAAACTAATAAAGTGTGTTTTTTTGTAAAATATTGATAGCTTAGTACAAAATAAATAAATTTGATCAAAATACAAAATATATCCATAAACAAGCAAACTACAACATTTTACAATATTCTCCATAAGAATAACATGGGAATTTTAAATTTAAAATTTTTTAAATTTTCTCCGTTACTATTAACCGAACAAAAATACTTTTATATACTAAATTAATTGTTTTTTTAAGCTCTTTAAAAAGGTCTAAAGAGAAATTGGGAAATTTTGTGTTTTGAGGGTCAAAAGTGAGAAAAACCAATTTTTACCCCATAAAACCCCCCCGTAAAGCCCCGTTCCCATGGTCCGATCATGCTGGTTCGCGAACTCATTCAAGTTTATCCCGCTTTACACCTTTAAACCAAATTTCATCAAAATCGGACAAAAATTACTCAAGTTATCGCGTTCACGGACGTATATATATATATATATATATATATAAGTCTATATATATATATATTATATATACATATATAAAAATTTGAACGAATGGTGTTTTTGGCCTCTGGGGACATCAAAATGAAAAAGTAAATCGGTCCCGGGTCTAGGTCTTACCGTGCCACCTACGGTAGTAGCTACTTCCCTATAGGGAAATTCGCTAAAAAAAAGAATGTAGTTGTGTGAGCCAGCCATAGAATGTGCTAGTGTCTAAAATTCTACTTTATACCTTATTTTTTGTTGCTCACCAGGTTTATGGGTCATAACAGTTGCTATAATTCATCATAAGTCATTCCCTATGTTTGACTTGGTTAAAAAGATTGTGTATTCGGCAGAATTTAGTAATTTAGATCAGCGCAATCTGTGTTATAAAGCGCCTACAAATTTAACATTGGGATGGAATGTCTGGTTATAAAACATATTCCCTTAGTAGATTTCTCATTCTTATGGAACAGCTGAAGCAAATTTCATTTGTAGTTCTGTCCGGTGCACTGTAGAAGTCTTGTTTTGTTTTCAATAATTATCTGGGTAAGAATTCCATTATTCATAACAACAATGGTGTATTCTTGTTGCACAATTCATACTCCTCAATTAGCCAATCACAAGAAAAAATTATATTTTAATCTATTTTGAATATTTTAAATTATGTTAAAATAATAATGAAAGATGTTGGATGAAAAAGAAACTATTTTTAAATCACAATTTATTTTAATGCTTCATAACTTAAACTTTATCTAATAATTTAACTTACAGAGATCTTTTTACAAAGATCACCATTTTAATGCAATATTTTCTTTCTATCATAGCTTATTCACAACTCCTCCAATGGGCCCATTGAGTTTGGACCAGTGTTTCACAGAGAATTTCTTTTAGAAGTACTGAAACTGCAAGAACGAATAGAAATGGTAAGGATAAGTGTAGCTATATTACAATAATTTGGTCGTTTTGAAAAAAAGTGTGAGATTGTACATTTATTAGTAGAGATGGGCCGATACCAAAAATTGTCGATACCGATACCACCAAAGTACTCTCGATACCTATCGATAGGCCTACCGATACTTCCGATACCTATCTTTTTTGCACAGTTTCTTCCACTAATAATATTATAAACTGTTATACCATAAAAAACACAATATGTATGTGTATCAAACTTATATTTTGGTGTTAAAGGTTTATTATTAATTGCAAAAGACAATTGCAAAAATATGGAACTAAGTGTTTATTTTAAAATAGGCCTACTGTAAATGTTTGAATTTGACTAAAGCATGAGATCTAATAAAGTTCCCTCTAATTTATAAATAGGCTTATATAAGTATTTATCTGTCATTTGTCAGTTTTTGTATTTATTTAAAATTGCATCAATAGTGTCAGGTAACTCATTAAGCTAGAAATTAAAAAAAAATTACGTACATCTTGGCCTACAAATACTCTGTAAGTTTTTTTCCCTAAGAGAGTAAAAACGAACTTCCTATATAATGACAGTTTCTCACTAGTTGTATGAAAAACAGTTATATATCTTCAAAATTTGTTTAGCTATGAAAAAGTCACTAAGTCTAGCTGAAAACACATTCATAAATGAGGATATTTTTGAAATACAGAATAACTAATCAAACAACCTTTTTATTTTCAAATGTTTTATTTCTTAACTTTTCTTCCTTGAAAATGTCAACAGTTTTTCACTTATTTTTAACAAAGGTTATCACTTATAATTTCTCGAAAGAAATCTACGTGTGAGCTATGAAGAGCAGACAAGAGACATACGTCACTGCCACAAAAACTATTCTCTACTGTGAATGAATGAACTGAGTGTTTATTAGTGCGAAGCCCCGCCCACCGTTTAACGGGACATGGGGTAGGAAAAGAGAAAGTTTGCTCTAAAGCCTGGTTCACATGCCCTCCCTCACCCTCGGCTCGGCTTCAGTCGCTTGCAGGTTTCCATTACACAAAAGTTTCTGAGTGTTAATTATTTTAAAACACTGTAAATGTTTGAATTTGACTATGATGAGATCTAATAAAGTTTCCTCTAATTTATAAATAGGCTTATAAGTATTAATCTAGGTCATTTGACAGTTTTTGTATTTATTTTTAAAAGCAATTTGCAGTTATACTTTAAAAAAAATTACATACATCTTGGCATATAAATACTTTTTGTAAGGAGAGTCTTTTCTCAAGTGAGTAAAAACGATCGTGGTCAAGGAATGACTGTGCTAAAACAGCACATTGTCAATTTTTACAAAAGTATTTTGACTGAAACCTGGTATTTTTTAAAGACATAGAATATGTCGACGTCTGTGGAGAAAAAGTATGGCAATAGATAGGTTTTACTTTTAGCCTACAATAAAGATTATGTTTTGGGACTAGAATCTCCAAAAGAGTGCTTTTATAAAACATGCCATAGTTTTATTTAATAACAAAAGTGTTTAACTATGTTCCCGATGATACCAAGAGTATAGGTTCGGCAGAGTGGATTCACTGTGAACCGGCCTGCCTGGCCCTTATGCACGACGTCACTATAACCTCCGTGTAGGCGTGTCAACAATGGATCGGAACAATCGATGTTTTGAACCTGTCTGTAACCCAGTTTTTATACTTTAATACTCATTATTTATAAACGAACACGTCCTACATATCGGATCTCTAATCAAGATATTTATCGATACCCTTCCCAACCACAATAAGCACATCAAACGATGTCTAAGCAATCGTCATTTGCTCCATTGAAACACGAAAGTCGATTGGCTGACATGGTAGTGCATTGTCGCCTCCTGACCAATGAGAACTGTTGTTACATACTTTTATTGTCAACATTTGCCATTCGTTATAACATTACATAATCGACATGGACTAAGGCTTATGATATTTTTCAATAAATACATTATGTCATAGTAGCACTTAAAAATGAAACTTCACTAAACTCTTAAATCAGGTAGATAGTACAGATAAATATGGACCTACTTTTGGCGCAATATAAAGCAAGCCTAACCATACGACGTTGATGATGTTTAATGGTTGAATATAATTTTTCTAATGATGCGTATAATGCAGGGATGAAACTGAACATTTCGACGTGTTTAGGTTATTTATTTTGTACTAAAAATAAAAATAATACATCTAAATGTCTGACTTATTGATACAGACATTGTTTAGTAAAATTAATTTCGTGTTGGCATGACATTCGCGCGCCGGTTGTCTCATGAGTTGAGTCTGACATCTTGAAATGTAGATTGTGTTGTGCAATGAGCTGAAGCTAGGCTACACAATGTCACCGGCACCGTCGCTGTTTTGAACTAGATAGTTTCTAAGTTGGCTATGAAAATTGTTAACCGTGATTACAAATCTAATACTGTAGCTATAAAGTAAATAAATGTTAAAATAAAATATTTATCCCTGTCGGTATCATCGGAATCGACTTTTGACAATCGAGTCTTGGTACCGATACCAATGTCCAAGTAGTAACCAATGGATGGTGGTATCGATGACGATAATCGACACATCCCTTTTTAGAACTGCATCGTGACCAAATCGATGCATGCTGGATCAAATCGGGATTCGATGCATCGAATTGAAATTTCAATGCATCGCACTCGCTGCACACCACTACCTATCACTATCACCCACAGCTGTCGCTGTCAGTGAAATTGATGACGCAAGCGATGTCTAGGTTGCCGATTATTATTAGGCCTAGTATGTCAATATTGAAAGGGGTTAAGGGATTAAATAAAACTCAAACATTTTCCTTTCTTGTTATTTACTTGTCAAATATCAACGAAATCGGCTTAACCTCTACTACTCGACTCGAGTTGCGAGTATATTTAACTAAGTAGGCAAACAGCGAGGATTTGTAACGGCAACGGCAATTTACCCGCTCTGAACTGACTTAATCCGCACCGATTCGTAGCATCACAGACAAGGGAAACAAAAGGGAAACTTGTATTTCCTTAGTCAATGGTAGCATTCAGTGGTTCAGTGTCAGTATCGGTATCGAACCCAAAACAGGCAAGTATGAGTATCGACGATACCTCGATACCGCTGGTATCGAGAGTATTTTGGTATCGAGTATCGGTATCGGCCCACCTCTATTTATTAGTCAAGAACTAAAAATGATTTTTTAAAATCCTAACTTGTTTATATTATTATATTTAACAGTTATTTTTAGGGGTCTGCGGTACAAATAATTTGAGGTTAGGTTAGATAACTTGTTTATATTATTATATTTATCAGTTATTTTTAGGAGTCTGCGGTACAAATAATTTAAGGTCGGTACGGTACAATATTTTGTTCCTTGGTTCTCGGTACAAAATCGGCACGGGAATGTACAATCATTTTAAATTTTATTAAATTGCCATCACTATGAAAATGGATAGAATCGTACATTCGTAGTTTTCTAACAACAATTACTGTACTGCACAATATTAAATAGTTTTACTCCTAACAGGATTGTGTCAAGAAACACAGTCAAGATAAAGGCTTTACTTATAGTACTAAGATAAGTCATAGCCATCATAAAGTGGGTTTTTTTAACGAGTTCTTGGAAGTACTTGACGTGAGTACCACAATTATTGTCCTCATAAAATATTAATGATTTGGGACTGCTTAATGGGGTTTTTATTGCATCATTGCCCTAGTAATAAATTATGTCAATTGCAAACAAACATCTGATAAACCTTTTATATACTCTGAACAAACTTCCCTTGACTATGATAGTAAATTGAAAGTAATTTATTATTGTAGGCTGTACCGAATCGAATTAGTACTGAGTAAAATGCTGTACCAAACCAATGGGGGTAACTAGGCCAGAACCGTATCGTACCAACTTTTTCGGTACACCGCATTTTATTTGATTATCTCAATTGTCCCCAGGCACAGAATCAGACAGTGTTGTTTTTACTTGGTGAGGTCAAATACTTTCTGAGGGTTCTGGGATTAAGACAAATTTATAGAATACCCCCGTTGCAGAAAACCTTCAGACTAACCGAATTTCCATTAACCTGGCTTGATTATATTCCAAATTATATAGATAAACATTCCACTAAAATATTTCCTTAAAATTGTCAGATCTATTTACTATGTAAAACATTAATTCTAATGAGTACTTAGGTTTGTTGCTAAAGGGAAGGGAGGCGTCGAGAGGCCAAGGGAGATATGTGACTTTAAAAAAAATGTCATTGTATTTTTTTCATAGTCATAAAAAATAAAATAAAAATAAAAATAAATTCTAAATAAAAATAAATTCACTTATACCCCTTGGCTTCCAACTCTTAGGTGTTTAGTTTGGAGGCCAAGGGATATAAGTGAATTATTTGTTGAAATTCCACCCTTTTTTAACAAAACCCGTTACCATGACAACATTTTTTTTAAAGTCACATATCTCCCTTGGCCTCTCGACGCCTCGAGTGTTCTTTTATTAAAATGATGATAGCTTAGTATGGAATAAACAAATTTGCCAAATTCGATCAAAATATATCCATAAAGAAACAATGCTTCAATATATTAAATTATTTGTTTTTCTAAGCTCTACAAAATGGTTCAGAAAGAATTTGCCAAATTTGATGTCTTATGTTTAAAGAGAAATTGGGAAATTTTAAATTTTTATGGTAAAAAATGGGAATAAATCAATTTTTACCTCATAAAACCCCCCAAAAACCCCGCTCTTATAGTCCCATCATGCTGGTTCACAAACTCATTCCAATAAAGGTAGGTCTATATGTTTGTACAAAATTTCAAATTGTTTGGCGTTTTGGAAATTAAATGACTGACTTTTTTAAAAGCATAAAAAATAAAATACATAGTAATTACGGTAAAAATTATGCTGATTTTATATCAATAAATTCAGTAAATGATGTAGAATTAGAAAATAAAAAAAAAACACTAACATATCTTGTAACACAATAACACGTATGTTGTAAACAATTAATAATGCAGTGATGAGTTTGACAGTTGTATGTGTCAAATGTCGCCAGCTGGGCCACGCGGAGGGTGCCGGACTAGAGAAGATTTGTTTTGCTCCATTGACGTCCCCGTTCACCGGCCCCACCAGGCTGTCGCAGTGTGTGGTGCAGAGCATCTGGGGCTACTACTCCAACGACTTGGACGAGTTCAATACTGAGGACCCGAACAACAACTACCTCGACCACTTCATCAAGTGTTCTCAGTAAGTGTCAGAACTGTTGGCAAGTAGCTATTTGAAGTGTCACAGATTCCCATCAAAGTATGTTTACAAAGGTGTTCTTACAAAGGTCTCACACAACTTTTAGAAACTTTATACATGTCATTTAAAGGACATTATTATTTTTTTAAAGGAAAAATTGTTTTGGTAGGGATTATGGATGAGTTATATTCTTAATAACATTCAATCTTGGACTTTCATTCAGTATTGGTATTGAGAAATAATTGTCAAAAGTATTTATTAGTGATGGGTCAGTACTTTTTTTAAAGAGGTTGGCGGCCTCATTGATTTAACCTTGCATTTGGGAACGTACTGGTATCCAGCAAAGCAAGGATGAGCCGGTACAGTGCAAAGGTGAACCGTAATGATAAAATGTTTACGGCAGTGTCCACGATCCGAACCCACGACATTACTGCCTTGGGCCCGAAGTCCGTGACGCTACCGACTGAGCCACCGACTCACCAAAAGTGACGACTTAACGTTAAATGTTGGGTCTACCGGTTCTTGGGAAAAGTACCGGAACCAAGAATTGATGGTGAAATGTCCATACCTTTGGTACCATGTTTATTATATTTTTATTTACTTATGTACAAAATTCAAATTGTCAACCATGATGATTATTTTTTACTTAAGGCTATTTGAAAGGGCATATTCATCATGAAATATTATCAATAGTAGGCTATAGGATGATTATTTCAGTGTTAGTTGGTTAAGTTGTCGTCACTATCGTCAGCTGATAGAGTGGTGTAAACATCGTCACCATTGCTATACCATCTTCAAGCAAATGACAGAATGTAATCGCCTTTAGAGGATTCCTCAGGTCTGGTGAGAGTCTGTAAAAGACAGCTCCATACCAGCGAGCTACTGCCAGTATACTGAATGTTGACATACCCATGTGTCTATGTACAGGAACAGCTACAGCCAAGAGTGTCTGGTCCCGTACGGTGGTCCTGTAGACCCAGCCATCGCCCTAGGAGGGTTCCTCAGGCCAGGTGAGAGTCTGTCAAAGACAGCGCCGTTCCAGCGAGCTACTGCCAGTATACTGAATGTTGACATCACCATGTGTCTATGTACAGCAACAGCTACAGCTAAGAGTGTCTGGCCCCGTACGGTGGTCCTGTAGACCCAACCATCGCCCTAGGAGGGTTCCTCAGGCCAGGTGAGAGTCTGTCAAAGACAGCACCGTTCAAGCGAGCTACTGTCAGTATACTGAATGTTGACATCACCTTGTGTCTATGTACAGGAACAGCTACAGCCCAGAGTGTCTGGCCCCGTACGGTGGTCCTGTAGACCCAACCATCGCCCTAGGAGGGTTCCTCAGGCCAGGTGAGAGTCTGTCAAAGACAGCTCCGTTCAAGCGAGCTACTGCCAGTATACTGAATGTTGACATCACCTTGTGTCTATGTACAGGAACAGCTACAGCTAAGAGTGTCTGGCCCCGTACGGTGGTCCTGTAGACCCAACCATCGCCCTAGGAGGGTTCCTCAGGCCAGGTGAGAGTCTGTCAAAGACAGAGCCGTTCAAGCGAGCTACTGCCAGTATACTGAATGTTGACATCACCATGTGTCTATGTACAGCAACAGCTACAGCTAAGAGTGTCTGGCCCCGTACGGTGGTCCTGTAGACCCAACCATCGCCCTAGGAGGGTTCCTCAGGCCAGGTGAGAGTCTGTCAAAGACAGAGCCGTTCCAGCGAGCTACTGCCAGTATACTGAATGTTGACATCACCTTGTGTCTATGTACAGGAACAGCTACAGCCCAGAGTGTCTGGCCCCGTACGGTGGTCCTGTAGACCCAGCCATCGCCCTAGGAGGGTTCCTCAGGCCAGGTGAGAGTCTGTCAAAGACAGCTCCGTACCAGCGAGCTACTGCCACTATACTGACCTTCCTGGTCAACAATCATCACAACAAGACACTGCTGCAGCCTGCTCTGCTCTGGGAAGAGAGGTGAGGTTCAGCTGATACTATAGTTCGGCCACTTAGAAAGCGACCTCCTCCAGCATTGGTTTAGCATTAGCGCGCAGGTCGTTTTCTAAGCAGCCGAACTAAATGAAACTAAATGAAAAATTCTCCTCAGTTATCTTTTGTTCATGATGATTGCGAATGATTTATGAAAATAAATAAGAAGCGCCTACCGAACTCTAAATACCTTAACATAGTTATGGAGTTGTAAATTTTGTCAGTTTAAAAAAATCCTGGATTGAGTTGTGATTTCTTTTTACCTTGAAAATAGAAACACATTCACAATTTCTCAAAACTTTCGATTTTAAAAATTCTTGTCAGTTTGTGTATTAGGATTCACTACCGAACCCAGAATCCCTTGTTTACGGCAAAGTTGTGATCATCATCTTTCTGGGACTGCGGTGATATAATGATTAACTTAAGCGATCACAAAGAATTCTCAAACTGTAGACTACAGATATAATGTTACAGCATGTATTCTGGTTGCTTTAATATCCTTTTGTTACGGCTCCTGAAAATTCCCAAACTATGAACTCCCCTTAGAAAATAAAAACAGAACAATATACTAAATTTTCAGGTTTTCAACATGCCTACTTTTAATATTCAGTCAATTTTTTTTAAATACATCATACTATTATATTAATATTGCAAAATGTTTCTGTGAATAATTTATCAAACCTTCCCAGCTCATTTTGGTTGTACATTATATTACTAAATTTGGTCTGCAACTAGAATCCTGTATTTGTTTGCAGCAGAGCTACCATGATGCCACTAGTACCCAGTTCAAGCCACTGAATGATACTAAATCAAAAGAATGTGACCTTTAAAAATTGTTAGATTCCGGGCCCTGTCTTCGGCTAAAATACGGAAAGTGGTATTTCAGCATATCTACTCCAGGGGAGTCATTTGCTCAATCATTATAGTCTGTATTATGGAACCTTAGAAGCTGTCTCCTGAATCTCCATCTATCTAGGGTCTAACCAATGGTTTAAAGCCTGGCCAGTCCAGGTAAATGAAAGGTCAAGAGACAGGTTACAGCTTACAGACTATAGACGAAATTAACAAAACAGGCAATGCTGACAAATAATTTAGTAAATACTCACACTTTTTCTAAGAAATATTTTACCTCACCAAGTTAATTCTAGCAGATAGCATCCAAATACCTTTTTTATGTTTCAGATTCATTTCTTTCATGAAGAACTGGACAGCGACAGAGAAGCCAGCGTACATGGACGTTGCCTTCACCTCGGAGAGATCTATTGAGGATGAGTTGGACAAGGAGTCTCGCTCAGATATTCTCACCATCCTCGGCAGTTACATCATCATGTTCGCTTACATCGCCTTGGCACTAGGACAGATTCATCAGTGTAATACCATGCTGGTAAGATACTACAGTAAGACGCCTCTAATTGACCATGATAACATAAAACTTTCAATAATTTCATATTTTGAGTCGTTTTTGTCTCTGGATCACAGAACAAACTATAAAAGGTATAAAATTACCTGAGTACTGCCAGAGTGATCCTGTTGGTCCTTACGGATTACGCGTTTCGAGGAGCTTAAGTCCTCATCATCAGATCTTGTACAAGAAACACATCTATCACCTCGAAATGGTCGTCAAAAGTTTAAATACACAACACGGACACATAATAAATAAACACGTTTTACAATTACGAGTAGGCCTACCGACAAAAACTTGCAATGTCCGACCGCACAGTTGTAGGTTAAAGTCATGACTGCGATACGGGAGGTGGGCGGGCGGTGGACTTTGTACTTCTCGGCTCTTTGTTCATCAGCTGTTCTTGGTTTGTTATTAAAGTATCATACAGAGCGTTGGACTGGAAACTGATTTCAAGACAACTAAGACAACTCCAGCTGTTTAATAAATACATTAATAACATTCACCCTAAACTTCAGTTTACAATAGAACTAGAAATGGACAATAAACTCAATTTCCTGGATTTAACTGTCATACGAGGTGACAAACTTTTCACGTTCGATATTTACAGGAAGCCAACCTTAACAGATACTACAATCCATGAAACATCACATCATCCCGTTAAGCATAAAATGGCTGCATATAACAGTTTCGTTCATCGGCTCCTATCAATACCACTTAGCTTTGAAAACTTTGATAAAGAGAAAACCACTATTAAATACATTGCACATAAAAATGGTTACGATCCCGTTATAATAGATAAGATAATTAAAAAACAATTAAAGAGAAAGAACAATAGGAAAGAAGATAAACCCAAAGAAAGGAAAGTTTTTGTAACTTCAGAATTTGGTAATAAGTTACCAAACATTCAAGCAAACGAATTAGGAAAAAAGAACATCAATATCGCTTTTAAAACTTCAAATAAACTACAAAAACTACTCAGCAGTGCTGATAAAAAATAATACAGCCGACAGAACAGGTATCTACAAGTTATCATGCGACGATTGTAACAAAATTTACATTGGGCAAACAGGCAGGACATTTCAAACTAGATTTAAAGAACATTTGCCTAAAGCAAGTAATCATCTCAAATCCAATTTTGCAGCTCATCTTGTAAATGAAAACCATAACTACAGTGATTTTAACACGAATTTAACCCCTCTACATTTTTGCAATAAAGGCAATGTTATGGACGCTTTAGAAGAGTTCGAAATTTATAAAACTACCAAAACCCAACCTAACACATTATTAAACGACAAAATCAGTTTCCAGTCCAACGCTCTGTATGATACTTTAATAACAAACCAAGAACAGCTGATGAACAAAGAGCCGAGAAGTACAAAGTCCACCGCCCGCCCACCTCCCGTATCGCAGTCATGACTTTAACCTACAACTGTGCGGTCGGACATTGCAAGTTTTTGTCGGTAGGCCTACTCGTAATTGTAAAACGTGTTTATTTATTATGTGTGCGTGTTGTGTATTTAAACTTTTGACGACCTTTTCGAAGTGATAGATGTGTTTCTTGTACAAGATCTGATGATGAGGACTTAAGCTCCTCGAAACGCGTAATCCGTAAGGACCAACAGGATCACTCTGGCAGTACTCAGGTAATTTTATACCTTTTATACTTTCAATAATTGTCTGGGTAGCCAAGTGGTTATAGTGCTCGCCTTCAAATCTGAAGATGCCATTTGTCATTGGGCTATGAATTAATGATGTTATCTAACAAGAAGGTTGATTTTAGATAGTTACAAGACCAGGGTTTGGACCGTTCCATTATAAAACGTAAAAAATGCCACTGGCATAGAAACACACAAAAAATCTCACATTGGGCTAAGGAGGTTTTTTACACTTAATTTGCCTTTCAGGAATGTTTGGAAAAAGGTTGTTGGCAATCACACGGTGCGGGGCATACTAAGCAGTGATCATGTAGATAGTAAAAATCATATCTATAAACAGCTTATTAATAAGTTTTGGAAATTAAGTTTACGATATTCTACCTTTGAAAGTGTCTACTTTCGGTCAGCGCTCATTTTTGTTGTACCTGGCTCTACTAAAGTCTGAAACATGTTGGATTTGCGAGTATCTAATGATGTACTATATTTTTCATTGTTCGTATAAAGTTCAATAGTGTGGGCCTTGTTTAAAAGGGGGAATGTAGCATACATATGTTAGGCTTAATAATTGGTTGCTTTAACTTTATCAAACCTTTCAGTCATAGTTTTTCTCTAGTTCTCAGTTTTTGCCACAGACATAGAGCACAATAATCAAAAGGTTATAAAGAGTTGGAAAGGAAACACATCCAAATAATCATGGAACTCGCCACTATCTTATAAGACTGTGATTTATCTGTTTAAAAATATTAATAGTTGACCTAATCTTCTAGCAAGTTTAATTTTACGCTTTCATCTTAGCATAGTAACTGCACAACCACTTCCTCAACATCGCTAATACGGGAATTTTAAATATAATTTTCTAAATAAATATTGATTTAAATGATCAGGAATTCATTTACCTGGTGTAGGACATTGGAGTTCACTTTAGTCCTAGAATGTGGACACAAAAGTAAAGTTAATAGTTCTGATTATTTTTTCCAGATGGACAGTAAGATCACCGTGGGGTTGGCTGGAGTGGTGGTTGTTCTCATGTCGATTGTCTGCTCTGTGGGATTTTTTGGATACATTGGAGTACCTGCTACCCTAATTATTTTTGAGGTTAGTTTTCACCTGTTGGTTTTTTTTTTTAAGTGTTAGTCCCATAATCTTAATATATTTACGCCTATCCTCATATACATTAACTCAGCAGCATTTTAAGGATCATCTCAAGACCTGCAGGCTGCGACGCTTAAAAGAAAATATCATACTAAAAATCAAATTAATTGGCATTTCAACAATGATTGAATAGTTTTTTAGTCATTTTCATTAGATGTGTGGTTAAGTGTAAGGGACACAGTTACCTAAAAAAAAGACCTCGCGATTTTTATCTCACAACTGCAATCAGTGACCTCATGAAAACTATCTTTGCAAAAAGAAATATTCTTGCAACTATATTGAGTAACTTAAGTGGTATTGGAAAAATATAAGACTATTGTAATGAAATATAAAAATAATCCACTATAGTTCGGCCGCTTAGAAAGCGACCTCCTCTAGCATTGGTTTAGCATTAGCGCGCAGGTCGTTTTCTAAGCGGCCGAACTATACAACTGATGTTGCATTATAGATTTGAATTCTTTGTAGTACCTTCAAACCAAGTGATTTAAACATATTTATGTAGTCCTGTGTCTGGTAGGTGATCCCATTCCTGGTGCTGGCTGTTGGTGTGGACAACATTTTCATCATCGTACAGAGACATCAGAGAGAGCCCAGACTAGAGGAAGAGACTACAGAGCAGCACATTGGCAGAGTTCTGGGACTGGTCGGTCCATCCATGCTGCTCACCAGTGTGTCAGAGTCTTGCTGCTTCTTCCTAGGTATTAGACATGCTTAATCTAGTTATTGAAGTGATGTAAATTGGAAGGTCATGAGTTTATAAAAAGATACGTTTTTTGCTGTGAAGTCACAAAAAATAACTTTTTGTACAATGGAGCTAAAAAATTCATTAAAAGAAAAGTACTGAATTTACTAGCGACTCCATGAAATCACTGATTAAAATTTAAAGGCATTCCAAGTCCTAGATTCAAGGGTATAGTACAACCCTGCTAATCCGTCACCTACGCGACCATTACCGTGGCTGGAACGGTGAAATGGTTGGATTATTCGAGGAGCAGCATGTTCATGAACTAGTATGTTCAGGATTTAGCCGTGATTGTGGGTGACTATTATGATGTTTCCACTACCGCAGAAGACATTCAGGAGTTTCTGCAATTGCAGATAATAACATTAATGTTTCTGTGACAGCAGGAGACAATTATGATGTCCCTTTGAGTTCGAAAGATGTTCAATATTTTTCCACGATTGGGGAAGACAATGATAATATTTCTTACCCGTGGGAGGCGTTCAGTACTTTACCATGATCAGGGTAGACGATAATAAAGTTTCTGCTACCGCAGGAGATGTCCTAGATTTGACCACAAGGACACAAGGATGAGGAAAATGTTTCCTTGATTGCAGAAGGAGCTGATGTTTCCGTTACTGTGAACATGTTCAGAGTTTTCCTGCGATCGTGGAAAAATAATTATGTTTCCGTGACTGCGGGGGATAAACAAGATGTTAGCCATGATTGCGGTAGACGGTGATGATGTCAACACGGCCAAGGAAAATGGTCATGATATTCCTGGGATAACATTGATACCAATAGCCAATGGCACATTTGGATTAAGCGAGGAGTCCTATTAGATAAGGTCGGATTAGCTGGGTTTTACTGTCGCAATAATAGTAAATTCACTACATCTGGTCCATATAGATGCAATGACTACTTCAATAGGCAATCCAAAAGTAATTGCTACGTACCTACTAATATTAATCAGCTTACTTTGTACTGGATAGTACTTTTCGCTATACTATGCTAATCTCTGAATTCAGTTTAATTTATAAATGCACAATACATTATTTCCTCTATGCTATGTTATAGGTGCATTGTCCGACATGCCAGCTGTGAAAGCCTTTGCGCTGTACGCTGCAATGGCGTTGTTTGTTGATTTCCTCTTTCAAATTTCCTGTTTCATCAGCATTCTCACCCTGGACACTAAGAGACATGAGGTAAATGGAAATAAATTACTCCAATAGCACTTTAATTTCAACTGCTGGAAGTTTGTTGATTGTTATTTGTCTTTAACGAGTCAAAAACATTTAAAAAGCAGCAAATGGCAATTAAAGAAAATAAAAAAGAGATAGAAAGACTAATAAATAAATTAATTCCTCCACAAATCTCAATTGGAGGGCTGTATTTATTTAACCACATTTATAATATTGAAGATGTGTCAACTGTTAGGTTTTTTATTATTTACAGTTTGATTGTTTACTTTTTCCCTAAATTAATTCCTTGATTCTACCATAGATTAACCAACACAAACAGACTTCTCATAGCATTGTAAATTTTGAAGCTCGTTTTTCGTGTCTGTATGGTGACACTGGGTGCTAGTGTCAATGAAATTTATATTATTTTAGGGTTTATTTCTTGATTTGTGCTTTGCTGTTTGGTTATATACCTAGGGGACGATTAAGTGCGACGATCATTATTTGGTTAAACGAGGCTTTAAATTACTGAAATAACAAGAAACAAATTGTAAACAAAACATGACGTCTACAGTGCACCGTACAGAACTAAGAATAAAATTGTCGTTTCTATAAAGATGAGAAATCTACTAAGGGAGGATGTTTTATATATGATTCTACTTAGAAGTTTACAAGACAATAAAAGTTTATCCAAATGTTAAGCTTTGATTCTGCCTCAGAGTTTAATGCAAATCACAAGAAATTTTCATTAAAATAAGCATGATTGAGATTTGCCTGTAATTTGCATGGTAAGTTTATGTAGCTGTTTTTTTTTCACAGATTTAGAGAACATTATTCTCTTGAGAGTATTCTCACCTCGTTGCGAAGCACGGGCAGAACAACCAGTTTGAATAATCCCAATAACATTTGTGTTGTAGGAACGTAGGCTAGATATGTTTTGCTGTCTCAAATCGTCCAACAAAGCAGAAACTGTCATTGAAGACGGAACACTCTTCAGTTTCATAAGAGATAGGTAATATTGCGTAATTTATATGTGCATTTTTATTGAAAGTTTGCTCAAAGGTTTTGTGTCATTTTGTTCAAATTCCATAACATTTAACCAAAAGTGAATTTGTTTTACTCCTGTCTTCTACCATATGAATAATTTTAGTAACTAATTTATATGTTAGAGCCTTATAGTTAGTTTTGAGAATTTCTTAAAATTTCCAAAATATGTATTTTATTTCTTCCTTTGTATTTATTTATTTTCCTTTCCAAACAACTAAAATAAAAGTTAGGAATTTTGCATAGAAAGTTTTATTCAAAATATATCAAGTACCTTAACAAATTTATTGTATTTTCCAATCATTACTATTATTTATTGGACTACAACACTACAAACTAAGCATTTGTTTTGTGCAAAGATGAACTAAAGAGAAGGGTAGAATGAATTAAAGAAATTAAATAGAACATGAATTAAAGTGTATCCTTTGTTACTGATAAATACAAGCTGACTCTTTTGCCAGCAATCAAAGATTAAACGATTAATTTTGAAGGGAGACCTTACACCTAACCTAACCTACACTAACCTTACACAAATCATTCATAAACTACCAAAAATTCCTGTTGGTTATATGATGGCATAAATAAGTGTAAGTTTTGTTAGATGTAAATGTTGAAAGTGTGAACTTAGAAAACTTCACTTCTTCATTATGCCATTGTTGTAACTGGAGCGTGGTTCTAGTCATATGGTCAAAAATAATTTTACTTCTTTCTTCTTTTGACTTGTGTGACATTGTTTTACTTCTTCCTTGTTGTATTTGTGTTTGAGCTTATGAATGTTTATTGGTGTAGAATTGTCATAATGTGATACGTTCTGAAGTACAGTAGAACTCCAATTATCCGAACTCCAATTAACTGAATCTCCGATTATCCAAATCGCTTACTTCAACAATTTTAAAAACATAAAGCTACAGTAATAAGTTTTGCAAAATATCAAAGAATTGTTATTAAACACATTTAGCCAGTGTGTAATTTTGGACTTTGATGGAACACCAAAATTACACACTGGCTAAACTATTAACTTAATAACATGTATAGAACACTTGTACTAAGATCATTGTAAACTGTAAAAATGTTCTGATTTCATTTATTATTATAATTAAAAGTTCACTTAGTACCGAAAATTAGGATTTATCTTTAAAATTCCCGGAATTCCGGTAAAACTCCTATTATCCAAATATTTGATTATCCGAATGGGGTCTGGTCCCTATTGATTCGGATAATCGGAGTTCTACTGTACTTGAACGCTAAATGCTAACTTTCTTTAACTTTCATATTTTATACACAATAGTATTTAGTAACTACAACTCATACAAGTGTGCTTATATAACTAATTAATTTCCAGATACGCCCCTAAACTGTTGTACAGTCGAGGAACACGAGCATTTGTCGTGTTGGTGTTTGTTGCGTGGCTGTGCGTTAGTATGTCAGTGTTACCAAACTTGACTATCGGACTGGACCACAAACTGTCGATGCCTCAAGACTCTCACGTCTACAAATATTTTACGGTATTCTATTTTACTTGGGATTACTTTTGATTTCTTACATATTATGTCACAATATATCCAGATAACTTTAAAACCATATTTTAAGACAGAGTGATCAAAGGTTTCAGATTTGATAGACAGTATAACTCAAAATGTATATGTCGACTGTTTAATTGATTGTAGTTAATTATTGCCTTATTGCAAATAGTTCGACATATCGAAAGTATAATGTGCACTATCAAAATCGTAATAGACAAAACGATTAAATAACTTACTAAACATCTGCTTGTTCCATTAGCAAATTAAATTAAAAACAAGTTAGAAGTAGATTTAAGTGGCTATCTTTGAATCATAACCATTTTAATTTTGTAACAGTTTGTTCAAACATTGGTGCAATATGACAAAAATTATAGTTCACCACACAGGCAATAAGTGTCTTTTCAATCCTCGCTCATTTTCCGTTGAGTACGGGTCGAAAAGAGTCACTTTAGGGCTTAGTGATGAAATATACTAGTTTGTATAAAATAACCGTTTTAGTTTTTGGATTCTAATTGTGGTGATACAGTTGTAATGTTCTTTATCTAACGGTTGTTTGGTTCCAGTACCTGAGTGAGTTCCTGTCCATTGGTCCGCCAGTCTACTTTGTCTTGACAGGCGAGATGAACATGAGTGATACTGTAGTACAAAACACCATCTGTGGAGGTCAACACTGCAACTCTGACTCTCTGTCGCTGCAGATATACAAAGCGACTAAAATGTCCAACATGTGAGTGTAACACCATAAATTAATATAAAATTTCTCAAGCTCTAGCAACCAAATCGATAGACATGTTTAAAAGACCCAGTTTTTTAATTAACTTTCAGTCACCATACTTTAATTTAAAATGGGTGAGTTAATAGTCTAGTGGTTTGCATTTTGGACGTAAGTGTGAGAAGAACATGTTCCTTTGTATCTCCACAGTTTAATGTGCTTGGTCCGCCTTCCTTTGAAAGCTGTAACAACTTCATTGGAAATTACACTGGTGAAACACTAATATCACGTAATTTAAGATGACTCATTACAAAATTTCCAAAATGTTTAACTTTTTGGTATAAACCTATTGTCAGATGATCAAGCATAGATTTCTTTGATGCCTGAGAAATTCAGCTTTTTAATTTATGAACTTTGTGAAGATTTTTAAATTATTAATTTTTTCTCTGTTAACTCCACATTCTTCCTTCTACCTATTTTTTACTTAGTCTCAAATAGCGTGTCCATCACTGAGTAGTTGAGTTTATGATTTCTTGCTCCAGCACGTACATCGGACGACCAGCCTCCTCCTGGATGGATGATTACTTTGACTGGATCGTGTCTCAGGAGTGCTGTATGATATCTCCAAACACCTTGTCATTCTGTCCTCATTCTGGTGGTGGTGAGTTAAAAATCCTTGGAGGAAAAGACTCAATTCTTTTGAATTTTATCAGGTTTAGTTTGTATTTAATACAACACATCATATACTGTTGCAATCCTTAGTTTGGGCATTAAGTAAGCTTTGTTTCAACCATTCAATCACCGTTTTTTTATCACAACCCTCCACCATCTCTCCTCTCTTATCTGCATTCCTTTTCACATTATCCATTCTTCTTCAAATTCCTCACCTTCCTCTTTCATTTATGTATTTATGTATTTGACTCTGTATCATATATTCTAAACAATCCCAATTTAAACAAAATTCTCATGTTCATAATACAATGAATAAAAACGTTGCTATAATAGATTTTTTAGATTGTCTAAAACTCTTAAAAGCCATATTGTAATCTCACTAAAAATATACAACAAGCTAATACATGTAATTCTGAAAATGCTACAAATGGCTTTCAAACAACCCATTTTATTCTCTAAATGAATTCTTTGAAATGCCTTGTATTGATTTTTATTAATTAGAGTTAGCAAACTAACCTAATTACTGTTGGATTTTGTTGGTTATGTGGTTTAATTATTTCATTATTCTACTAAACGACACAAACTTTTCTTAACAATAAGACGATCTGTAATATTTAAAATATGTATTGTAACTTGTCTCCTTTTGTATAGTTAGCATTGTACTCAATTACCGACTATGCTATAATTTTAGCTGTTTTATGACATTGTCAATAATTTTTAAAAATTCAAAAAATAATAAACATATTGTTTTCATTCATTTCATTTCACCGCCAACTGCATTTTCCTTGGATTTCCCTTCCTACACTCTCACATTTTAATTTTAAACCATCTTAATCTTTCTCAAGTACACTCCCTCTTAAAACTACTCCTCTTCTAGTAGCTTCATTACTGACTCAATCACTCGATTTCACGCTGAGGATTGGTGCAACTTTTCAAAATTCAAATAGAGACAGGACTAAATCAATTATGTGGTGGAACTCGAGGAGAAATAATGTAAATGTCTGTCATTTTTACAAAAACCTCCAAATGGGCTAGCACGGTTCCACAAACTAAAGTAGAGCACAGATTAGGGGTAAGTTTTACCGAGTAACAACAAAAGTTTTGTTTATACCGGGTTAATTTTTGAACGGCTGTATGTGTTCAAATGAGCTTCGATACACGTTACTAGGATAATGTAAAGTATAGGGGTTGGTATTTTTTAAAATCAAAACCCCACCAGCAACCCCTGTTTGGGGGTGATTGGTGAAATTCAGAATCATGTTAAAAAGTGTGTGACATCACCCTGGTCACATGTACTGAAGGTTATTTGAAAATTTACAGCCATGAAAAAAATAAAAGTGATGGAATGTAAAGTTCCATTTAAATTAACGTCTAATATTTCTTGCCATAGCTTTTCAAAAGTTTGTCGTATGAAAGTCGGATTTGTGGAATTAATTACCCCTTTTAAAGCTCACTAAAATGATGTGCTACTTGAGAGGGGTTGCCGTTTGAAAATTTTAAGTTACCCCCAGCAACCCCTAAGGTGGGGCGAATTTCAAAATACCACAAAAGTACTTTACATTACCCTAGTAACGTGTATCAAACCTCGTTTGAATATATGGATCTGACTTAGGGGAGGTACAAATGAGGCATTTAGTTCAAAATTCCTCCGTGAACAGCGCTGTAGTAGAGAGCACTTTGGCAATAAAGGTTTACTAATCTCAAAAATAGTTCTGTTCATAAAATAAAATTATAAATGCCTCAAATTCAATTTTACTTTTTTTTAATTATAAAATTAAACTATCATAACCTAACCGAACTAACCAAACTTGCTGATAAAGAAATAATATAACAACAGTTTAGTAATCGGAAAAATAATTCTGTTTATTAAATAAAACTAGAAATTGCTCAATTAAAATTTTATAATGACTTAATAATAAAATTAAACTGTAATAACCAAACCAAACCAATCAAACTTGCTGATAATAAAAAAATCTTGGGCAAAAAGTTAATGCTACCAGCGGGATTCGAACCCGGGACCTACAGTATATCAGCCTGGCATGCTAACCATTAGACCACCGAGGCCGATGGCTAACGTACGTTTTGTTACGGTAATGGCGTTCCCTCAGCTAATAAGAAGCCCTCAGCTGTCATCGTAGCCTCTTCTATACCTCCCCTGAGTAAATACCTGAATATATGCAGCCATTCAAAAATTAACCAGGGGGGATTATGGGACACCCGGTATATTGTAGCTTAGTGCATTATAAAGCGTAGACACCTGTAATACTTGTTCCAGATGATTGTGATTACTGCACCAAGGTGATCAACCCTGACCTGGCCAGACCTGACTCTACCACCTTTGACCGATATCTCTCCTTCTTCTTGCAGGACAACCCGGACGCCAGTTGTGTCAAAGCGGGGCACGCGGCTTACTCTCAGGTTCATTCACTGTTGTCATTTTGTACATAAATGCTCATAAAATGATTTCAAGTCACTAAAATCAAGATGTGAATGCTCAGAATAATTTATTTGGAGTTTGACTCTTTTGTATTTTTATTAAACATTAGGTCCAAGTTAATAAATGGTTAAATAGAGTACCCGTTCATCCTTGTGTATTTTAAACGGTAATTTAGTTATGAATTTGTTCATATTGTTGTGTTCACTTAATCAATTTGTATCGCTTTAAACTGCATTTTACCATTGTGGTGCTTATTTTTATTAGGGGTCTGTGAGCCATACTTTTCCCCTTCGGATCAAGTAAAAAATGTCGACTCTCGTGTCTCGGGGTTAAAATTGAGTTGTAGAATGAATTGATTTTTTTTAATAAGCTATTAATTGTTATACTACAGTTATTGGTTTATTTATTGTACATGATCTCCCCCCGTATTACGGTGAAACTATGAACAACTTCTAAAGTAATGGTGACATCATCATAGTTTCCTACTATTACAGCAACTCCGTGAACATCACCAGCAATCGTGGCAAAATTGTAAATTTTTCATCGCAAAAATTAAAACTCGGCTCGGCTCAACCCGACCTTATGTTGGCTGAAAAATTATTCTTGGTCTAACTCTACCCACAGATAAAAAAAATATTGAACAATATTGAGGACCTACAGGTTCTTAATTTTTGTATGCATTACAGTATAATTCACGCCCCCCTGTTTTTTGCAGGCAGTCAAGTATAGGCTGGATGAGAGAGGGTACACAGTGGTAGAAGCGACTTACTACATGGCCTACCATACAATACTGAAGTCATCCAGTGACTTCTACGGGGCGATCAGAGAGGCTCGTAAGGTAGCAGACAACATTACTGAAACCATCAACGACAAGCTGGTACACATCGGGAGTAACGCCACAGCTCATGTCTTTCCGTATAGGTCAGTTGCTGCTTTGGTCAGTAGTTTCTGTAGTTCTGTAGTCTTCAGTAGTTTTCTGAAGATGTTTATCTTTTTGATTATCATTGCATAGGTGTTCTTATTATACACTTAAGTAAAACATAACTTACATCAACCAACACTTTATCCGTTAGTAAGATAAAGATTAAGTAATATATTTTGGCACTCTAGGGTGGCAATTGCAGATTTCATTGAACAGTTAGCTTGAGGTGAAGGTTTCTGTGATGGCACCAAACACTTTGTAGTAGTTTCATGCTACGTTTAAGACGTGCCTCTAATGAAATTAAATGTACAGAAAAGAAATGTATTGTAGTTTAAAAAGACTAACAGCAAAGTCCAACTGCTATACTTTCAAATAAAATAAAAATAACTTTAAACTCTGAGGAAGATTGAGGTCGCCATGTCTGCAATTCAGTCGGTGTAGCAGTACTTGTCTTGTCGCCAATAGATCTAGGTCTGTAGGTACCTTTCGGTACAGCGACAACAATTATATAACAAAAATTATAATTACAGTAGACTCTCGCTTATCTGGATCGGCATAGTCCGGATTCCCGCCAGTCCGGATCGGCAATCGTGTTTTTTTTTAGCGGCACAGTACAGTAGAAGTTCGATTATCCGAGCTAAACAGGACCGAGACTACCTCGGATAATCAAAAACTTGGATAACACAGTGGTAAATATTATTACCGGTGGAACTGCATTTACCCGGATATCAATACTGTGGACCTGGAACAAAATTGAAAAAAACGGCTATATATAATACTGTATTTGCTCGACTCTCGATAGTCCGGATTTTTCCTAATCCGTCCGGACATCCGCCACAATAGTCCGGATGAGCGAGAGTCTACTGTACTGGTACTTCACCAGTAGTGACATTTTAATGTAAATTCTAGATACCGATTTTTTTCCAACAACCAGTAGTGATACCAAGAAGATTTAGTAGACAAATTTCTTCATTATCTCTTCAGCAGTGTTTGATTGAGTGTGTTCTGTTGACCAGTGTGTTCTACGTGTTCTTCGAGCAGTACCTGACCATGTGGCAGGACACTTTGTACAGTGTAGGGGTGTCTCTTGCTGCTGTGTTCCTGGTCACTCTGGTACTGATGGGGCTAGATCTAGTCTTGTCTCTTGTGGTCCTAGTCACCATCACCATGATTGTCATCAACCTCGGTGGACTCATGTACTTCTTGGACATCACACTCAACGCAGTCACCCTCGTCAACTTGGTTATGGTCAGTGAACATTATCAGAATCTGGTTTTTTCATATTTTATTGACCGACGGCAAAACATACGTTTTTGTTTCCTACCACAATTTCAATGTTTTTTTTGTCACAATTGAATTTATCAATTTATGAGATTCAAATATAGTGGGAAATACCAAATGCAGTCTTGTCTTGTAATCGTAAAATAGTCTAACATAAACATTTCACGCACCAAACCAGTAGCTTAGGAGTACCTAGAGCTTGTTTGTAACATGGTGGTCACAGTTTTTGAAATAATTCAGTATCTGGTCTTGTGTCCAAGTTAAAACTCTGCTTACCACAAATAGTGTTCATCCATTTGATGATAATGTAACACAATGACCCTTTTTTAAGTTGTAGGTCCACTTATTTAGTGAACCAAGGTATCCCAGGCAAGGACTTTCTTCGTATGGGCGGAGAACCCCCCCCCACAACACTTAAACTGGTTAAAGAATTAAAAGGATATCGCATAGAATAGTGATTGTGAGAATGAATTTTACTGATTAGCTCTGAAGGGTGCAAGAACTCTGCAGTCCCAAAAACATAACCATTGTCCTACACAGCTGCGGCAAAAGCGTGAGTGCTCTGCAATCCTTGGCTGGAGCTTCATTTTTTACTAGGTGCTCAATCAATCGAGCTTTTAAGCAAGGCTCAGCTCAGATTGAAAATCGAGCCTCCTGCACACATCTACTAACAACTTATGTATAACACTTTTTGTATGTGCAATATAATCTGTAAACATGTTATCTCTCCACCTACTGTTAATTTAAAATTTAGTATTTTCCATATATACCTTGAATTTTGGTAAAAATCTAACTATACAATTAGGATAACTGTACCATGATTAATCGTGTATTGTTGTTTTTCAGGCTATCGGCATTTCTGTGGAGTTCTGCAGCCACATCGTACATGCTTTCTCTGAGTCTATGAAGGAGACAAAGATTTTACGGGCTGGAGATGCTCTTGTCAATGTTGGAACATCGGTAGGCTTAAACAGAAACTTTAGATTATAGTGTACAGAGTTTTTGTTTCTTGTGCTAAAGTAACCCTGCTATCATGAATACAACCTCAAAGCCTATACTAGGGACCATGAGAGTCTACAGTTGGCGGCAGCCAATACAAAGACTCGACTAGCGCAACATTGCAACATCACCCGTTCACTACTTTTTGACACTAATTAAAATATACTAAACAATATTTTCAAATCAGCTGGTATTATTAGATTTGGCAACACCGCACTGTCCTCATTGGCTCCTTCCTCAACTGCAGAATCTCGTGAACAGTACTGTAGGCTCTAGTGCTCTATGCTACATTCTACTATCAGGGAATATATTTCATCTGAGAAATTAAACCACTGTACTCTGGTGTCAAGTTATCGTGGTTCCCAGTTGAAGTTGCCAAAAGCCTAGACTTTTATTCGATGAAATACAAGTGAATCAGGACAGCTGTTTCCAGTTTTAAATTCATTAAAATTTCTCTAAACCCAGAACTGACCTGGCGTTCACATTACTGGGCTGGCTGTCTTTGGTGCCCTATTTCAATGAGATTTTTGATTTTTTTTCCTTGGTAAATTTATTAATAAGTAGATTATTTATTACAACAGTAGTTAATTAGGTTCTAATACTATGTTGATGACTGATGTTAACTCGATCCAGCGGGCTTTGCTTTTGTGGTGTGCATTTTTGAAACATTGTACGTTCTGTAATATTATTGTTTTCTTTAAAATAAAAGTTTGGATTTGATTTAAATGACTGGTACAAAACTTAATTAAATTTCATCTTGTATTTACCTCATACAAATTATTTTATCAACACTTGTATAAGTTTTACTAAATTTTTCAAGATTTGTCATAGCTACCCAAACTAAAACTTTGGTAAGTGGCATGCCTATCTTTATACATCCACCAGTAAACTCACTGCTGCAGTTAGTTTATTGTGCAAATAAACTTTCAAGTACTCAACTAAATTTGCATTAGCATATACATTTTTCAGTTTCAAGTTATTTTTACATTACTCTTAGCATGTTTTTTAATGCAAGTGTTAATGTAAGAGTTTTTAGTTTTTATCAAATTCTTTTTCCTGCATTTCTCAGTCTAATAATTGTAGTATTTTTAACTGTACTTATTTTTAAAATACAGTTTCATTTTGTAGGCTGTGAGAGTTTTAATTTATTTTAGGACCTAATACCTATATTTGTTATAAATTGTAAAACCATTTTTCAAAACAACGTAAATTTAAGTGTCACAAATTTCTTGAAATTGCTTAAACCAACGAATTATGCTTTTCCTAGTCGGTGATTGATTAGCAAATTCGATGCAAAACCCCGCTGCACTGTAATAGGAGACTTAGTTTTTGCAAACTCTGTCACACAAAATACCTGATGCTGCATGGTAGCCATCTTACTAACAACTGATGGCTAGACAAAATGGCTGTCCATTGTTGCGATAACTTTTTTGGCCGTTTACAAATCTATGGTAAAAAAACTTGGAAATATCTTCTTTTTAATCGAGTAAATTTTATGTAGTATGTCCGATTTAAAGTTTATCAAACACAAAGTCATGAAGTTGGGTTCATATTTATCCCCTCCCCCCTATAATATCCAGCCCTGTATAACATACAGTATTCCTATGTTGCATGTTTTATTCATTCATTTCATTTTTATTTTAGGTGTTTTCTGGCATCACCCTTACCAAGTTTGGTGGCATCATTGTGTTGGGATTTGCCCACTCACAGATATTCAAGGTGTTTTATTTCCAAATGTACATGGGAATAGTCGTTATTGGTGCTCTACACGGTCTGGTATTCCTACCTGTTCTGCTTACATACTGCGGTAAGTTAAAGTACAAATTATGTTCATTATCTTGTATTAAATCATGATTTGTTTTCCAAATTAAAATATCTTTTTATTTTATACTAGCTGACCCGGCGAACTTCGTATCGCCTAAGTTATAGGTTTCCCCTAAGACAGACCGATGGAAAGAAAGTACCGTTACGTTTAATTTTCAAGATGATCTCGTTCGCATCGCTCAATCACGTCCTGGTTGAAGTTCGTTCGCTACGCTCACTCACCTTTGGGTTGGAGCTCGTTCGCTGCGCTCACTTGCCTTTAGGTTGGAGCTCGTTCGCTACGCTAACTCGCCTCCAGGTTAGCTCGTTCGCTACGCTCACTCGCCTCCAGGTTGAAGTTCGTTCGCTACGCTCACTCACCTTTTGGTTGCAAATTAGCTGTTGTCATAAATGTAAAAGAAATAATAGTGCTGCACCCTGTTGGTAATCCTTGTAACTTTAATGCTAGTGAACATCATAGAACAGAACCAACTTGTTTAATTTAAACAGCTGTTAAGATTCATTAATTCCATTTCTCATAAGGTTAACATGGGAAACTCCAGAGCCACTGGGGCGGAGCCCTTTTAAGAATTTCGAAACACGGAAATAGTTTACGTCCGATTCGCATACCTACAGAATTTACACACCAAATTTCATAACGATCGGTGAAGTCGTTCCGGAGGAGTTTGCAGACAAACACTGTGACACGAGAATTTTATATATTAGATTTACCCTACACCTATGGATCTTAGACTTTTAAATATGTTTTTTTTTTAATACTTACCATACACAGCTCTAATTAATTTAGAAATTATAATTTGTTATGTTACAACTAATTTTAATTGTAAGGAAATTGTCATTTGATACCAAACTTGAAATATGCTGATATTGAAGAATTTTGTCTGACTCCTTGTGGACCTTCCCCCAAATGGGTTCCGATCGGTAATTGGGCAGATGTTTGTGTTACCATCACCAGTACATTTTTTCTATCGTGGTTTAGAAATTTAAAAAGAGGTTTCAGACGTAATTGTCACCCTGTATTAGTATGAAAATATTTGGTACAACCTATAAATAAAAACAACATAAACTGTGGTGAAGTTTTATCACTATACAAATAACAAAATTATACTCTACGTTTCTTCCTGAAACAAATAATATACAATATTGTATAACTTTCTAACAAGTAATCATTTTTATTCATTTAAAAAATAAACTATGCAAAGTGCAGCAAAATGTCCTAGCATTTTAGCGAATCCAACCAGCAGTTCCAGGGTTAATCTATGGTTTGATTGAGGTCTGTTGACATGTTAAATTTTTATTAGCATTCAAGTTGTGTGATTCAATAACACCTGTTTCAGGTTCGTCAGTGAACCCGAAGAAGCTGCTATTGTTCGAGAGGGAGGAACGGAGAAAAATGTTGGCCAGCATAAACAGAGTAAGGGAGGGGTTACGGGACAGAGAGGGGCATGTTCTGGACGAAGTGAAGCCTGCATGATCTTGCGCATGTCTAGACGAGACAGTTCCTAACTCAGTATTGGACCTTGTTCCTTGTGACTACTAGAATTGTGCCTTTTAACATAGGATCTTCATCTTCAGTGTGTCCACAGACAATGATTATTGTGAGAGCTATATTTTAATAGAACATTAGATACATAGTTTGTAGTCAATGTGATAGTGTCGCTGCAGTGAAATGCATGCAGTGTTTGTAGCATGAACTTTTCAAATGTTACAGTGTGCCTCAGGCCGCTTGAGTACGGGCGACATGAAACGTGTTTGGCCAAGTACGAGTTATGAGTATGTGATAGGTTTTTTACCCAGACTCTGGGGAATGTTACAAAAACTAAACAAAGCAATTTTATTTTTGTATTTTTTAACACTTAAACACATAGTGTTAACATAAGTGAATCATTAAAAACACAACTAAGTGCTTTACAACTGGGCGAGGATACATAAAAGCACAGTTTGGATCTATAAACCTACTATTGAATAGTTACACCCCTGTTGAAAACAGTTTTATAGAAACAAAAGTCAATTTTGCATCTAATTTTGCGTGTTTTAATGACGTCATTGGCATTTTTAAAAGTTTTTCTTTGTAAGGGAACGGTCCAAAATCTGGGATAACCAACACATATCTTTGCATAGCATTGTTAATTTATAACCCAAAGCCAAATAGCATTTGGAGCTATAGCCTCTGGATCATTATTGAACATAGTTAAAATCGAAGGCTTACCTTACGATCCAATTTATTTTATGGTGGGAACCTAGGTTTCTACGTCGTCAGTCCTTTGTCCCATAGGTTGGCTAAACTTTAAGTTTTTCATCCCTTACTTCAGATATAGTCGATTTGGTATAATTTGTACAAATATTGAACACATATAAATATTTACTAAGACGTAAATGAAAAGATACATGGCCATAATCTTCTTTATCAATCCTAACCTCCAAAGTTGGGCTGTTGACATGTTTGTCCGGATCGTAAGGCAAGCCTTAGATTTTAACTATGCCAAATAGAATTTGGGTCTAAACCCCTTGGGATTGAACAAGCAACCTTCAGATTTGAAGGCAGCACAAAAATCCACTTCACTACCTCACACAGATTTGTAAAATTTTCTTTGAAAATTCAATCAGTTGTGGGGTGTGTGATAGTACAAAATCAATAACTTTAAGAACATAGTAAATTCAAATGGAATTTCGTCGCTAGATTTAGTGTAGGCCTATGTTCGACCTAGGAACTTACGGAAATAATTAAAGTAAGTCAAGTCAAATATAAACATAATTGTTTCTACAGTTCTTGTAGATTGATCAATATCTACTTTAAAATATTCTCTTCAGATTTCTGGACATTCAAAAGGTAAGGTGTAGCCAAATGGGATTTTAGAGAAACTTGTAGATCTCTGGCTTCATGATCTACCTCTGGTATGAATGCGTTCCCACAGAAAAAACAAATTCACGTTTTAAAAAGCCTTTATAAAGTAAATAAATAAAGGGTTATTGTCTGATCAAACTCATGCAAATAATGTTTTGCAATACAGTAAGTCTGTGACAAGACCTCACATACTCTGTAACCGTACTAAGTCTTAGATTTAGATCACTGAAAAACTGTAGAACTAGTAACTGCCACTATAATAACTTACAGCCTTTTAAACTATTTTAAGTTCCCTTTCACTTTATTTAAGATATTTCTGCATTTGTGTACTTGTTTTTATTATTGTTAGCTTACATATTTATTCAAAATGTTATCCGATTGCTTTAAACATTAGGGACACTTCAACGAGTCATGATTTTTAAGAAGGTTGAGATTTTTTATGTACATGTTTAGTGTTGTTATTGTTAGTGCATTTTGCTTATGCTCTCTTTAGCACTGTAACTTGTTTTTATAAGCACTTGAACTTTGTGAACGAATGTTTGTTTTTTACTTAATTCACATTTTTACTCTTGGAGATAATGCTAGGAAAAGAATTAAAGTATAATAAACTCATAACTTGAGACTGTAAGAATACCAATGAATTTTACCACTTAATAAAATAATTATTAAAGTATGTCTTTTTAGGAGATTGTTGTTTATTGTTTAGATTTTAAAAAACTATACTGGGTGAATCAGATCAAACGTGCACAAACTTATACGGGGTATACAGCCTTTTGTTAAACTCACTGATCAGGTATACAAATATTTACTAATCATTTTATTAGGGGGGGCATATTTGTTTGCTATTTGTTATGGGATACTTCTAGAATAGCTCAGGCACGCTTTTATAAACGGGCATATGCCCAGGGGCGCCGGTGGTTTGGGTGCGCCCACTGGATGCCCCCAAACCACCGCCTGCCAGCACTAGGAAAAAAGGGGGGCGCTGCTCTTGGGTTTGCCCAGGGCTCCACTGACCCTTAACGCGGCCCTGGAATAGCTAGGGATCCGAAATTTTTTATGGAGGTCCGTCTGGGTCCCAAACCACCCGGAAAATCCAAAAAATTACATTTTCAAACTACGACCCCCCAAAAAATTCCTTATGTCCCCCTATTTTGAGAAAAAAGTTTTTATAGCTTTAAAGATAGGCTCTACTCCTTGGCATCTTTCAAAAATCACACTCCTTCACCTTCAAAAAATGCCCTACTTCTAAAGTTTTTAGAATGTCTTGGATTTTTTACGTGTTTTTAATTTTTAAATTACTTTTCGGACATATAATTGTACTTTTAATGATCCCAACATTGAAAGAAAAGTGCCTAAAGTGACATTTTAAAACTGTAACCCACTAACGCTGTTGGGCCAAACCGTTGTGCATGGGTGGTCTGATTCACCCTGTATACACAGACTTGTAGGTTAAGTAGGACAAACTGAAGGAAAAGTATTTTTGTAAACTTTACCGTCCAATGGTGATACTTAGTCAATACTCCTCTTGTAGGACTTATCTTTCAACTATAAAATTATTTTTTTAAATTACCTTTGAGGTAGGTTGCAATTAAACTTGGGAATCTTCCAGTTGTATCATAGCTTGCTCTGACGATTGATTATTGCGCCACTTTTGAAAGGTTAGCCAGCATTTTTGCCAGTTCAACTCCTGAAGATCAAGACTCGGACGTCTACTTTGACCGTAGAGGCCTTTATCTTATAGTTTGTGTTTTAGCAAAAAGACTACTTCCCTTGAATTAGTTCAAATATTGAAAATGATGTAATTAGGTCTACATTTCAATCTTAATTTAGATCAAACTGAGCAGTTTTTAATTTTAATTAGGTACTTGGCTATTTTAATACCTAATATTTTAATAAAATTTATAGCAATTAATTAGTTACAAACATTAAAGTAATTTTAATGTTATAATATAGATGTAAACAAAATCAACAGTTTTTTTTTGTATTCTTTGTTGATGATTGTTATATTTTACTTACTACTATTTACTTTTTTAAGATATTGGTCTTAAAGAAAAGTGTTACTTAAGTCTTTAAAACTACTGAGCCAAGCTTACTTTTTGGAGTCATAAAATTTTTCAAAGTTTTTACTCATGTTTTAGTCATCATTTTTGTTGTTGATCACAATTATTATTTTAATGGAGTTCCTAGATGTAAGTTTCATCTTAATTAGTTTCAGTTGAAGTTTTTTTCTGTAACAGAATAGTATTTATGAGTATTATCATTATTTTGTAAATTTATATTTTAAGTTGGCTAAGCATTGGTTTTATTCAGTATTGATAAGTTCTGTATAATTTAGCAGTCTCTAGAAGGTATAAGCATAGATAAAACATACTCCCTTAGTAGATTTCCCATCCTTATGGAACAGCTGAAGCCAATTTTATTGTTAGTTCTGTCCGTTTTTCTGTAGAGGTCGTGTTTTGTTTACAATTTGTTTCCCGTTATTACAGCCATTTAAAACCTCGTTTAACCAAATAATACGATCTAATCATAAACAATAACGTGTCCCCTAGTTATATAACCAAACAGTAAAGCACAAATCAAGAAATTAACCCTAAAATAATAGAAACAAAGTTTCGTCGACACTGGCCCCTTTGTGTCACGTACATGAACTAGACACGAAAAACGTGCTTCAAAATTTACAATGGGATGAGAAGTCTACTTGTGTTGGTTAGTCTATGGTATAAGTCAATGAGTGAAAAATTGTATGTCTACTTTTGTCCATCCTATAAGATATACATGCATCTCTTTAACACAACTCAGCATATTTTTCAAATCTTATACGGTGTCAGTATCCACCAATATTTTCAATTTTCTGACAACAACCACATAATCGGATAAAATTCAGTACCTTTTGCGATTATGGTTCTGGCTGATCTCAGCCTAGGATGTCAATTCATCCGTCATGGCAAGGATAGTATGTTAGTGAAGTCCATCTGACAAAACAATTGACGTCAAATATATCGATGGACATTTTAAAATCTATTAAAACAGGGAATCAATTAAAGAATCATATATATATAAGTTGTACTATGTTGTAGACATCGAGTTTATAACACATGGTGGATCTATTTTCGTGTTGAAAGGTTGTTGGGGATGGTAAAGAATATCAGGGAGGAATTGGGTAAGATAAGGCAGTCAATTGATAGTTGATAGGTAGCCTTTCTTCTAAAATAGTTTAGAGTTAAGAATATAAGTTATTTTTAAGGCTCTTGAAAATATCTTTCCAAAAACTTGTTATCAGCAGATCAAATTATTCTTGTGTTGCTTCTACGACTAGTCGCTTTCGGTATTAAAATAAAGTAAACTACCATGGCATGCCTTTTACATTTAATCAAATAACAAGACAATTTTATTTACTCAATAGTTTGATTAAACAGTATTCAAGCTGTCACACTGGCTCGTGAGTAGAACATTTATAGTAGTTTTTAAAGTTGTATGAATTAGTTTAAATTGTCAACATACTTTATACTTTTTTTGTAGGTGTAATCTTTTAATGTTGGGTACAAAGGTAGATATTCCATCCATATGGGCTAGCTGTAGCCAATGTTTTTGTTAAAATAGTAGTTGAATGAGCTGTTCAACAATATTTTTGTGTAAAATTCTATTTGCTATGTTAGTTTTTGATATTTTAAATTTATGTAACAAAAAATCCTATAGCTTTCATGAAGCTGTTCTTTCAGTTGGTTAAAAAGTCTCTGTATAAATCAGTTGAAAGTAACACTCTCTGTCGGTGGTTCGATTCAACTACAATTTGCATTCTAAAACTAGCGCCAACTATAACATAGAAATGGAATGTTATATTCTTTCAACAGTCAAAGGTGTAATGAATTGCCTACATTTTTCCAATTGCTTTACTTCCTTAGACTGATAAATTGATTGAACCCCAAAGTAAGACTAGTATTTTTTTAACTTTTAAAACATTGTTCACTTAACACGTTTACTGCGGCATGTCTCCGATCGGAGACATCACCATCCCCACTCGGGTGTGCATGCCTCTGATTGGAGTCATTTTTCATGGACATTGTAATGCGATTATATTTCGTCTAGCTATTGAAAAGAATACGCATATTGTGCCTTAGCTCTTGGCGTGCATGTTAACCGGGTAGTGGGTTTTTAATTTTGTCTTGGTCAAGGTTAACACCAATATTCATATTTTCCACAGGGATTTATTTTCGCGTTTGTTGACATTGTTCATATTCGTGTCTGTCGTAACACGTTAAACATTTAATGATATGGATCAGAATAATGATACTAAATGTACTGTAGCATTGTGGAAGGAACCTAAACTCAAAATTTTGCTTGATCCCTTTTTGCGGTATGTTTTGTTGGTGTATCCGGGTACTTCGCCCCTGCTTTTTCCCTCCATTTGGCAAAACCGGAAGGCTTGCTAGCAGTTTTGTTTAGTGCTGCTATCTATTGGGTTTTTGTAAAACTATGTCCACAACGACTGGGATTATATATACCTCTCCTATGGGATGAAACTAAATTCAAACATTTTCATTTTCGTGCACTCATCCACGCAGCGCATTAGCTGTCCGCGCTCCTGGCAGCGGACGGCCATCACGCAGCCACAGCGAACGTGTTAAAATAGGTACTCAATAATCCAATATAATTTTTTTGCTCATTTTTTTGTTGACAGAGCAAATTGTGACAAACTATTGAGCCTTACGCTGCTCAATCTCTACTCTCTACCCAATCAAGTCTGACACTTTTTCATAAATATGTACCATGATCCTCATTGTAAGTTACCCAAAGATTAAAGTTTCCTCATTATTTTCATTAGACAAATAACTGAAAAGACATTGTAATTGTTGATATTAAATCAATAAGATTGAACTTATCAATAAATGACATATTGTGATACTAGTCAGTTTATAGCTAAGTGAAATGTATACAGGTTTTGGACTTAGTCGATGGCGATATACAACTATTACAAATCCTATTTGTTATGGCGTAGTCCGTTATGTTATTTATTGTTTTCATGTTTTAAGTTATGAAAGATAAATATTTTTGTGTTACCAAAGGAATGGATCAGGGTTGTATTGATAAGCTAGTTAAACATTGTCTTTCTTTTTCCTCTTATTCTCTTCTATTTTTAATTTAAATTATATACATTTTGTGTTTTTCGCACAACACTGTCCTTAAGATGTTACTCAGCAATAATAAATGTACTGGATCAGTAAACGTGTTTGTGTATCCTTAAATTTTGTTCCTCAATTTGAAAGTGTGATTTATGCATTACGATTGAAACAATGGCAACCTGGGATTGGCTGGAAAATTAGATTGCATTAGGCTAATTTTAGTGGAAGAGAGTCCTCCATTTGTGGTGTTTTGATGTGTGTTATCCAATGTTGCTGAGAAATGCAAGTATAACTCTGTGGGGAGCAAGCTGGTCTATGCAGAATGCAGGACTTCAGTCCCCGAGGTCCAGGGTTCAAATCCTACCAATCACCAATGGAATTTGTTTAAGTGATCACACCGCAACCTTCTAGGTGCAGACTTAAGAAATGTGTAAAACGATTCTATGCTGGAGCCTACTTCCTAGTATGTGAAGATGGGACTAAAAACATATTAAATCAGCTGATTTTACAGCTTGTATATACCGAAGTTGTGGCTGGTATCGTTTCAATCTTACTAAATGAATCACACCTTATGATTAAATTTCTTGAAGTACAAAAAATTATCTTTATAAATAGCTTATATTTTCCATTTAGTTATTTATGGAACACGTATTCAGACCTTTTCGAGTCTGTTTCTTATACTTTATTTCACAAGTTGTTGTTATGTGAAGTAAAGGGTCACACATTTAAGAAGGTATTTATTTTCTTTAATTAGAACAGGATATATATTTATTTTTTCAATTCAAAGAAATTATAACAAATTGTTCACAATAAATGTTTAAATTCAGTTCAAACTACAAATTCTAAAGATCTCTCTGAAATTTATTATATGTTTTTACAGGAATTAAAAATACAGTAAAATTGTGCATATGGTTCCTTTTGGTATTCTTTTCAACGTTTTAATTTATTTTATTTTAATGTCCTTCAAATAAAAAAAAATGTAAATGCATACTGTAAGAGCCAATGTTAATAAACATTTTATACACTGAGTGCAATAATCATTGTATGATTATAAGGGTGAATTGTAAAATTCCAAAAGCTAAAAAAATTAAAATGTCTTTGAAAGAAATCATGTTAATAAAATAAAAACATAAAACCAGAGATTAGTTAATTACAAAACTAAATTAAATTGTGTTGGATTTTTCTAAAGGTTTTATTGATAACCACACGATCTGGTCAAAATAAATCTCTTTTCAATCAACTTCCACGTGTAGGAGAAGATGCTTTATCTATATTTATATTTTAAATTTTAAAAATAATTTAGTGCTGTAGATTTTCACTTCTATTGTTTGATATCAAAATTCATTGAATATTGATTCCCTCATGACTTGATAAAATTATTGTTTATTTTACAATTTATATCAACAACAATTCACATGTTTATTTCACAAGCATCTACGTAAGACCTGAAGAGCTGTATAAACACGCAAAAAGCATAAAGGTAAAGGAAAACTTCAAAACTAAATCTACCTATAGACATTTGTATACTTGTTATATTGATTGTATAATTTTAATACTCTACTCTGTAGATATTATATGTACATGAGTCATACTCTTCAGTCCAGCACATAAAAAAATGTCCAATCATAGGAGATTGTTCAAATGCACAAATAAGCAACATATTTATATCAATTTTATTGTCTGGTATGATTATGTTATCCTCTAAGATCAAGCATCTTATCCTAATCATTCGTTTGTCTTACCTAATTTGTCTTGCTATAACGAATATTGAATAAAATTACTGTCAATACATTTTCTTAATCAGATTTTTCCTATGTGGATAAAGATCAAAATTGAGGTTGTTTAAAAAACAATACGTTTCTAAAAATAAAATTTTAAATTTAAATAATATTTTTTTCATGTTTCAGAGTCCATGACTGTTGTACGGTGAGGATGAAGAAGAAATTGTTGATTGCAGTACTACCTTGTGATGATTTTCAAATGTCCTATAGCTCTAAGCAAGTTTGTATACGTTTATACTCAGGTATTTTACTGTAGAGAGAAGAGTTCCTATTTTTATTGTTATGTTTTAGGTATTGAATGTTTCTATTTTTACTATCACTTTGTTAACTGTTTAAGAGTCTTTATTTATCACTTGCTATGTTTGACCGTAGTAATCACAGAGAAATTGTTTTGTAAAAATATGATTGTTAACTTTAACTTCTGAAAAAATCATAAGTGCTTTTCCGTGAAATCACATTTATCTGAATATGCCAGTTTAAGTACTGTATATCTCTTTTACTTTGGTTTTTAAAATTACGAAATACTATTTTTTATTTAATAACCTTGTTATTGAGCAATTTCATACAGTATAGCCTTAATTATCCAATGTAAACCCGCCTGCAACAAGTGCGGATAAGAAAAAAGTCAATTTGCATCGAACATAACGGTTTGTTTTCCATTGAAATTTGTTTTGGAGCCATTATTACAAATAAAATACTATGATAGTCTGCCATTGAACTTTGGACATGTAAATTAGCAAAGTATTCTTTCAAAATACAATAGTTAACAATTAAATTACAAGAAAATTATGTGATTTAAAATTTACAAATCAATTCCGTCTCATATTTTCTGTTCAATCCGTGAAAACCATGAATCTTGTGAAATCAATTTACTGTACTATTTTGAACACTATGCGCAAACCAAATATTAGTAACGATACATCTTGATTGAACAAGTTAAACAAGTACTACATTTTGCTGTACGACCTCATATAAAAGACCTACAAGGTTTGTTTTAGACAACTATTATTTAAAAAGATTTAATAAACTTTAACCACAGTTTTTTTTTTATCTTCAAAGCAAGGGATTATTAAAGAATATAATTTTTAATGAGGGAATGGTGATTAAGACTCACATCTGTTAGTTTTATACTTAGATAATTTAAGAAAGATTTTCACCATTGTGATAACAGAATTTAAGATAGTTATAGTTTCTTCGGAGTATTTAATAAACTGTTACATCTGTTGATTGTTAGAGTTGTTATTTAACCACAGTTTTAACAGAGTATCTGGTTAGTTGTGGTCACCAAAGTCAGAAGTCACTGATTTTAATTTAGCGGTACTGCAAATTAAAAATTGTTATTAGGGTCACAACAATAAATAGCTAAAAACAGGTGGTTTTAATTTTTTTCTTCTAAATTTTGATGAGCAATGGGTAAGCCATATAGTATATTAGAGACATTTTGTACAAAACCAAAAGAATAGTTATTTGTGTAACTAGTGAGCAAAGTGGCACTTTGCTGCACACAAGAGCAACGTTTACGCCCGAGCTGCAGGCGAGTGCGGAATTATCTCGAGTGCAGCAAAGGCCTTTTGCACTCGTGTTACGCATTATATTTTTCCTACAGTCACTATAAAGCATATAAATAATTAGTCTTTCAAATACTATACAAAACGATTTTATGTTCAGCTGGCAACACAAATAGGTGCCCTAGAGAAAGTAGTCCCCGGTCCGTATCACTCCGCTATTTTTTCCTCGGCAAGCAATGTGCTCCGCGACTTGAGAAAATAGTTCCGTATATTTTTATAATTTGCAGTTGTTTCAGTGCCTAAAAAATGCTTTAAAGGTATTTTCTTGTTTATTAAGATCGTAGGAATGTTTTAAAAACGTTTAAAAAAGTTCAGAAATACCGAAAAGAGAACATAAACTATAAACACGAAATGACAGGTTAAATCGTAGTTATAATAGTCAATCAGCTGCTCGTAGTATTATTATCTTTAAGTGTTGCCAACCTATTTCCAAGCGTACACGGATTACGTGCATAATAGAACCACGCTGTTTTGTGTTGTTTCGTTGGAATCCTGATGTGCGCCAAAGTATATAAACCGTACGACAAAGTATAAATATGCAGCAATTAGCAGCTTTCTGTACTATAAACAGTACAAGGAAGCCAACTTTGTCGGGTGACTGTAGGAAAAAACAAATTGTGCACTTAACCTACATGGTAATCAACATTCAACATATTGTTTCTGAAATGCAAAACATTTGCTGTATTGTAAGACATGAACTACTCATAATACAGAGAATTTTATAGTTAAATGAATTAGTGAATAGTAGTGGCAATTGGGAGCATGGAGGGTGGTCGTCCCAATTTTTTTAAGGGATATATAGAGATATGAATGTGAAGTATTTGCATAATATAATCTCACATTTTCCTGGTGGTTTTCGCTCCCCTACTTTTAGTGGTCAATCGATGCCCTGTTAAAAACATGAACACTTAAACAAGTCATTAAAACAAACCAATTTAATTACAATTAGCTGTAAAACATTTTTAACTAAGCCAGACATTTGCAGTGAAAATAATAGGTGGTCTTGATACATTTTTATGTATCTTGTGGACCAAGTTTTAAATTTAATCCAACATCCTCCTGTGTTTTGATATTGAAATTTACCATCTTTTTGAAAATTCAATTCAATTTTGTGTAAAGTTTTATACTTTAATTAGATGATAATTAGTAGCCTACAGAAACTGAAAATATGCATTCAAACTCCCTAACACTCGCTCAAATTTTAATATTGAAATTGACCCTCTATTTGAAAATTTAATTAAATTTTGTTTAAAAATGTTATGCTCTAATTAGATAATTAGTACAGAAACTGAAAATATGCATTCAAACTCCCTTATACTCACTCAGGGCCGGATTAGTAAAGGGGCAAGGGTGAAAGGGTTTAGGATTTTTTGGGGGCGCAAGGAATAGAAAATGTCCCCCAAAAGGAAGGCAGAGGGTGGTGCAATCATCTTGTTGGCTTGTGACATACATACTGCACTCACTAGGTATGATTTACCATTGAATATTAACACACTTGTTTTAATCAGTCAGTCTATTGCGGAGGCAAGGCGATAGAAGCTAAATTTGGACAATTCACTCACACAAGCTGATCCGCTAGTATGTAGTAGATCTTAGTCACTGGTATTAGATAGTAAATTTAAGAAAACTATTTTATTTTAATGTTGATGTTGATGAGTTTGAAAAATACTAATTATTGTTTGTTATTAACATCTGTGGCACGCAGTACATTTTCAACATTCAACATCTTTTTAACATTTGG